GCTTTACTTGGTCTTGTGTTACTTATATTGCTTACGTGTAATTAGCAGTATCAATTTTATATGCTAACCTAACATAATAAAAATAAAAAAAATATATAATTACAAAAATAATTATGTGTGTGTGTGTGTAATAAACTAACATAACCAAGGTTATCTTACATAACCTTAGAAATTGAAGGGAATCACATTCCCTTCAAAATCCTATGTGGAGAGAATGTGACATTCCTTGGGAATGTTAGATTCCCTGAGATAATATGAACCAAACATAGGAATGTGAGCTTTGGAATGTCACATTCCCTTGGTTATGTTATATAACCTGAACCAAACGCCCCCTAATATTGTTTTAAGTTTGAATACTATCAGGAAGAAGAATATATTACTAGATTAGTGTTGATTTTGCCGACTGTTGATAGTCTGATTTTGCTGAGTGCTGAGTGCTGAACTGCTGATTTTGGTAATGTTTATATTTTACTATGTGTGTCCATCTGTCCCTTTTCCATGGCAATGATGAAGCTTCCACCTTTAATCTGAAAAGGATTAAGTTGATAAGTTGCTCTAAATTTATTGTTTATTGTAGCAATTTGCCCTTAATCTAAAATTGATATGGAAAAATGCTTACTGAGCCAACTATATAAATATATATATTAATCCATTTTTTGTGTTTAATTTAGAATTATAATCCATTCACTAACTTGTTACTTGTCACAATTCACAGGAAGAAGAGTAGCTGACTGACTTAACTCTATCTTGCTGAATGCTGATCTGCTTGACTGCTTGTCTGCTTAACACTTCACACTTCATTAGTTCACTGTTGTAGTGTTGTGTATTTTGTAATAGACTAATGACTATTGATTAATCTGTATTTTGTGTAATTTATCATTTTGTTGATAGACTACTTGGTAATACTAATTAACTAAGTTAGTATTACAATCTTAGTCTATTATGGCTCGTTTGGTTCACGAAATAGGCCGGGAATGATAGCATTCCGAGTAATAGGCCTATTCCTTTGTTTGGTAACCATTTCTATTACCAGGAATAATATTCCTGGTAACAACCTATTACCTCAAATAAGGTAATAGCTATTACTAGGGCCCCGTGGTATTAGCCTATTACTGAACGCTTAGGAATAGATTTTAGAATCTATTTTCTTTTTTACTCTTTTCTTTAACCTAATTTTTTTAATCCTATATATACATTTATCCTATTTCACCACTGTCGTCGCCACCACCATCATCGCCACCGCCGCCACCACCACTATCGCCGTCGCCACCACCATCGCCACAACTGTCGCCGCCCCTACCACCGCCACCACCACCATCATCACCATCGCCACCACCATCACCATCGTCGCCGCCACCACCACCACCACCACTGCCACCAGAACCACCACCCAGCAGCACCACAACCACCGCCACAACCGTCGCCACCCCCACCACCACTGCCACAACCGTCACCGTCACCACCACCACCGTCGCCCCCACCACTGCCACCGCCACCACCACCACTACCACCACAGCACCACCACCACCACCGCCACCACCATCGCCGCCACCACCACTACCACCACCGCCGCCACCACCACCGCCGCCACCACCACCACCACCACTGCCGCCACCACCACCACCATCGCCACCATCACATATTTTTATAAGGGTATTTATGTCTTTTAAAACATATTTCATTTCTATTCCTTAAATCTACCAAACACTGTTATATAATTCCTAAAGTTTATTCCTTCCGCGAACCAAACAATAGAATACAATTCCTATTTTATTCCTTGCCTATTTCATTCCTTATGGAATAACATTTCTATTACTTCAAAATTCATTCCGTGAACCAAACGTGCTATTAGAGATTTAGAGGCTTAGGCTATCCTCACTCCTGCAAAGAACCCATTGGCAAAGTGATGTGGTAAAATGAGGTGGAATAATATGCTATTTATATTTTATTTTTATTGCTTATTTGGATTGCCAATTTGCAAGTAATGCAAATTGGCAAACCATTTGCATCGTACAAAGCTGCTGCTACAACAGCTTTATACCTTTTTTTTTTTTATTTTAATTTTTAATTTTATATATGTACTTTTTGTTTGTTTTCTTTATTTATTTTATTGTCTGGAGTCCACTTTTCAAAATAGATTAGATTTGCAGAGATGTGGTGTGAATAGTAGATGATTTGCAAATGGGATGATATGAAGTGGGACTCATTTTAAAGAGTGGAAGATATTTGCAGGGATAAAGTTAGCCTTAGAACTTTAGAATTTAGAGTTTAGACTATTAGTTCTTACTTATTAATTGCTATTTTACTATTAATTTTGATTTATTTTTATTTTTTTTTCATTTTTTAAGACCAACTTACAGTCCGATATCCGACCGATCCAAACCGATTTGATTAGCATATTAATCGAACGGATAAATATCATTAATAACAACGGTAGAGTTTCCGTTCGGATTTGCTATCCGTCATCCGATCCGAACCGTCCGCTGCACAGCAGCATTCTCATTATTGGATAACGTGGTGGCGGGCTGGCGGCTTCAACAAGGTGTCAAATGTCGACGACTTGAGTGCCGTAGGCGATGAGCTCTCCCGCCGCCTATATATAGTGACGATGACTTGATCTTAGCTTGTTAGTTGGCGACGGGAGAAAAAGACAATTAAGGAGAGCTAATAATGGAGATGACAGAGGACATTGTTATAGTCGGCGCTGGTATTGCCGGTCTCGCTACTGCTCTCGGACTTCACAGGTAAGAAATTAACCGCTTCAATTCATTCAACCCGGCCCGGCCCGGCCCGCAGCGGCTGATCTGATCTGATAATGGTTGGTTTAGGCAGGGGTTGCGGAGCATTGTTCTTGAATCATCGGAGTCCTTAAGATCCTCAGGGTTTGCGCTTGGCTTGTGGACCAATGCCTGGAGGGCACTCGACGCTCTCGCCATCGGAGATTCACTCAGACAACAATCTCTTCCCATTACTGAGTTAGTCCTCATCTAAGCCATCCTTTTCTGTTTCAAAATTTTCAATCACAAGGCCTAGAATGACACCACTATTCAAGTTGCACTCTTTTTCCCTATGTATTTTAGTTGAGATTTAGCGAATTCTGGTAACTTCGTGCGTGGTGCTCTTTATGTGCTGGGACTAGTTACTAGTATATTGTGGATTATGGCAAACAATCAATTTCTCAGGTGGTGAATGGTACAGGTTTCAGGTTATCTCTGCAGATTCGGGACTTGAGAAATCATCTGTGCCATTGGATGTGTACAAGAATAGGTAGCTATACAGATACTGTATCATGATTTTTTTTTCGGCTTTCCTATCAGCCAATCTATGAGTATATCGTGTTGTATTAGAAACTCTGAATGCCGGTGCTTGAGAAGGAAGCTGTTACTGGAGACATTAGAGAAAAAACTTCCCCAAGGAACCGTCAGGTATTCTTCTAAGGTTGTTTTGATTGAAGAATCAGGACCATACAAATTGGTTCATCTGGCAGATGGATCCCTTGTCAGAACCAAGGTCTTGATTGGGTGTGATGGAGTCAATTCTGTGGTGGCCAAGTGGCTGGGACTCCAAAAACCAGTTGATTCCAAGAGGGCGGAAATTAGGGGATTTGTCGAGTATCCAGACAAACACGGTTTTGAGCCAAAGTTCCATCTTCTCGTTGGTGCTCAAGTTCACTTTGGCTTTATTCCTTGTGATGATAATGGCATGTATTGGTTCTACAATTTCACTCCATCCATTGCCCACTGTAAGCAAAATTTTCTTCACCGCTTTCCATATTCTGTGGCTGAAGATGCTGAACATGGCTCTGTTTGGCCGAATAGCTTATTTTAAGATACTAATGAGTTTTCATATTTCCAATTTGATAACAGTTGATCAAAGTGCAACAAAAGACCCTGTTAAGCTGAAGGAGTTTGTGTTGAGCAAGATCAAGAACGCGTCAAATGAAGTGAAGGGCGTCGTGGAGAGAACTCCACTCGACTGCATTTCCTGCGCCGGGTTGAAGCTGAGATTGCCATGGAATGTTTTACTCGGAGATATTGTCAGAAACAACATCTGTGTTGCAGGTGATGCCCTTCATCCAATGACACCCGATATTGGCCAGGGTGGATGTTCAGCTCTAGAAGACAGCGTTTTGCTTGCCCGACGCCTAGGGGAGGCGTTCTTGTTGAAACCAGGAGGAGCGGTTGCAGATGAAGAATTCGAAAGGATCAGATATGGGCTTGACAGGTACGCCAAAGAGAGGAGATGCCGAAGTTTTCTCCTCATCAGTTGTGCTTACTTGATCGGTTCCATTCAAGGGAGTGATAACCGGGTGGTGAGTTTCTTGAGGGACAACTTCTTGGCTAGATACACTTTGGCCATAGTGTTGGGAATGGCAGATTTCGATTGTGGGAAACTGTTGTCATCTCGATTAATATAGTAATTTCTGTTGAAAACTAAATAGTTAGGTTTATCTATAGGGTTGTGTCTGTTCATGAATAGGTATCAGTTATGAGTAGTTACTTACAGTTATGTGTTTGTATATATATATATGTACTATGTTTCTTTATTAGAAACAACATATAATACCAATATATTTCAGTTTTATATTCATTTCCTAGTCTTGATTCTTCATATTGCTTCCGCCTAACTGGCGGGTGGTATTATTCTCCACCCGCCAGGCCGTTCCATCTTCCAAATTCAACATTTCAATACGTTATTTAGAGTGTTCTCATTTCATTGTCAACACGGTGAAACATTTAAGCATATCTGCGAATAAATGTGTATTCTCAAAGATTGCAGTCACTACCCGAATGATCTTAGCTTACATTTAAAACTAAAAAAAATCAAGAACCCAAGTTTTTTGCTGTCTGGTTCCAAGTCATGTTCCGCCCAAATCTTGATTATGAAGGGAAAACTGGGTGCATCCTAGATGGGAACCCATATTTGAAACCTGATTTTATGCTGTGTATTGGGATTTTAAAGAAAAGGGTATTTGCTAGGCCTTCAAATTTTTTATTAATAATATTATTATTTTTTAAAAAGATGTTAGTGGCCTTGTGGCCTTAGCTTTTGTCTGAAGTTGTTTGTGAGCTTATGTAGAAGAATAATTTTCTGTCCAATAAACTAATGCTCCAGCATGAATCATTTCGATGGTGACTTCTTGTCTGTCTCACTGTCTGTACAAGAGATTAGTCAAATGTTGCCACAGGTGGTTGTGTCTGTCGTTTTCCTTGGTTGGATGCTCCTCTTAGTGGTGTATCTCCTTTGTTGACTGGAGTTTGGAGCAAATAGAGGAGGAGGAAATGGAGACAACAGTGGATATTGTTATAGCGGGTGGTGGAATTGCAGGTCTCGCTACTTCTTTGGGACTTCACAGGTACTATACCAAACACTGCTGCAGCCATAGCTAGCTGTTGATTATTTGCGGACTATATGTTACTTCTAAATCTAATGATTTCATCTGTTCTTTAGGCTGGGGCTGCAGAGCTTAGTTTTGGAATCATCCGAGTCTTTAAGAGCCGGAGGGTTTGGGTTTATGTTGTGGAATAACGCCTGGAGGGCACTCGACGCTCTGGGCGTTGCAGATTCACTCAGACCACATTCTCTTCCCATTAAAGAGTTAGTCCTTGTCTAAACCACATTCAATATGCACTCTTAGCTTTTCCCCATGTTTTTGCTTCAATTCAGCAAACTCGATCTTTATGTTGTGAATTATGCGAAAGAATCAGTTTCTCAGGCTTTAATTTATTGGTGGTGAATGAATGGTACAGGCTTCGAGTTTTCTCTGCAGATTCCGGGCTTCAGACCTCATCTGTGCCGTTGAATGTGTACAATAATAGGTATACTTTATCATGATTGATTTCTTTTTCTAGCTTTCATATATATCAGCCAATCTATGAGTATATATATCGTGTTTTATTAGAAACTCTGAAAGTCGATGCTTGAGAAGGAAGCTGTTACTCGAGACATTAGAGAAAGAACTTCCCCAAGGAACTGTCAGGTATTCTTCTAAGGTTGTTTTGATTGAAGAATCGGGACCCTTCAAATTGGTTCATCTGGCAGGTATACAGTTTATATTAATTGGTGCACACCATACTTATTTGCTTCACATGTATTGATTCATGCTGAGTATCTTATATGCTTTTGAAACTATACTTGTGTGAATGTTTTACTGTCTATATGGTTTGGTTAAATGAATTGGTGTTACCTTGGTGCTGAAAGTTTGCCCTATGTGTGTTAGACTTAAGTTATGATTTAAGGTAAACCGTTCATAGATAACCAAATAATCAAATATAGGAAGAAATTCTACCGGAATATGGTATATCTTTAGAAAAGAATTGAAGAGAGAAACCTGAGTCTTGCTAAGTGAGAGTTAGTCCTAGTTTCACCTCCTTACTACCACATCTTGTTCACATGCTTTTTTCATCCCTAATCCCTAGGAACTCCATTCTTCTTTTAATAGATTGTGGCATATAAATAGCTATTTCTGAGAATAACCCGAAAGATACCACTTCCAACCACAAGTTCCTTGAAAACATTGAGAAACTTAATAGCTTTAGTACAATAGTACTGCACAATATATTGAATGCATACCTGAGGTGAAGTGACTGAACACACTAGGATGAACAATTCTCGCCTGAAGCTATGGAATCGCTGATAAGTTTCCGGGAAGCTTTGGAGTTGACAAGCATTAGATTGAGATTTGATGAAGTTTTTGGAGGCTGGTTGGCATTCTTAAGACTGAATCTCTCCTCAAAGATTATGCTCAATTGGTTGATGTATTAAAGCACAATTTTCTTCAATTGTGCTTCAATCTGTTTGATTTGTGACCAATCACTTTTGACATTTGCCATCTCATCTAAATTTGATGGGTGCTTCCTAGCTCCTATTACAAAATGAGGCTGTTCGACTAATAAAAGAAGTATTGATTTTTTGGTGTCCACATTCATTGTTGATGTGGCAGCAAATTGTAGCGGATGAATTTAACTATGAATTTGGGTTCCTCATTAAAATGAGAACTTTTCTTTAATTAGTGCATACATTGAACAACTGGCCTGTGATTTTTTAATATTTTGGTATAAAGGGTCAGAAGTCTTCAAACTTCTTAAACAAATGCAATTAGACTACCCAATTGAAAAAACTCCAAATATGCACTTAAATTCTGGAAACAATGCAATTAGGCCCTCTTGGTGTGATGCTTCGTCTTCTTCATTGGATGAAGAGTCATCTTCTTCCACCTGAGATGGATGAGGAATCTTCTTCCCTATACCTGAGAAGTTTTACCAATCATTGAATGTCCTACACACAACACATCAAATTCATTGATATATGGTGTAATGAGACTGGCAAAAGGCTGAATTTGTGAATTTTATTGAATGCCTTTTAATGTAGGAAAAAGGATCCGATGAGATTGTGTTCAAGGCCATGGGTAGAGCAATCAACAAAACTGTAAGTATGGTGGAGCTTATTAAGGTTTGCCCTAACTCATTGTTCTTATGTTTTTTGCTCTTCTTAATTTTGTTTTCCTTATCATGATTTTTAAAATTATTTTATTCTTATTGTAGAGGAGGATTGTTGGCCTTCATCAAATTACAGCTATTACATCCACTGATATCACTGATACATGGGAGCCCCTGGAGGAAGGCCTCCTTCCGTAAGATTCAAATCAAATGGAAGGGGACCTCGGGGGAGAGGGCGTGGATTCAAATCAAATGGGCCGATCCATGCGGTAGCTGGAGGTGCTTAGTTGGTCAAAACCAGAAAGCATTACAGCAACTATGATGTTCTAAGAGTGCCTGCTCAAATTCTCTATGTTATCCAGTTTTTTTCTCAAATTGTTGCGAGTATTTAACTTTTAGGATGATATTGAATTGATCCTATAATCATTGTAGACTAATTTTAGAAATTGTGTCCACCTGTTTGTGGTGAGCCTTTTTGTTCTCCCTTTTTTTTTTCTTCTTTTTTGTTTTCTTTTACCATTTTTATTAGTTTGTTTTTAGGTGTTTGTTTAAAGTAGAAAGGACTTGTGAGCAGCACATTCTTTAATTTATCTGTTAAGACAAAGGTTGTCACATTAGCGAAATGTTCATTTTTGTTAATATTTATGTCTTGATGATATTGTTTTATCCCTTTTGCAGTTCTTTGATTGGATTGTATGTCAATCTATCTGTGTTGATTTTTAATTTCATTTTTAAAATTTAGGGTGTTGGTGAGCATCATTATAATTTAAAGAAAGAAAGTTACCTACTAGGAAGATTTTGTGCAATGAGTTGGATTAAAAGGGTGTTGGCAAAAATTGAATTTTGTAGAATTAAATTTGTAATTTTTTGAAGGGAAAACGACACTTTTGGCCCTTCAATTGTTTTACTTTTGAAAATTTAGTCCCTGTCAATTGATTTGCGCATTTAATTGTTCATAATGTAGCACATTTGGTCCCTCATGTTATATAATTAGAATTATTTTTAATAATTTTTATAATTTATTTATTCAAAATTAAAAATATTTTTTATAATAAATAAATACATTAAAAAAAAAAAAAAAGAACAGCCACCGGCTGTCCGACGCAGGCAGTCGGTGGCTGTCTTCTTCACGGAGACGGTGGCCGTCTAAGGAAGACGGCCATGGCCGACAAAGGAAGCTTCCAGATTTGGAACGAGGGCTACGGCCTTCGCCACCGCCCTCGTTCCAGTCGGACAATCAAAGTCAAATCTAGAACGAGGGTGGCGGCTAATGGAGCACCCAAGTGTGAATATGTGAATGCCTGATATCCGTCCACGTGTTCAGATCTAATGGATAAGAAACATTGATTTTTTAAAAAAATGCGGTGGCATTTTCGTAAATAATTAAATATTGAAGTGCAAGTAAAATGTATTAATAGTGCATGTAAAATGTATTATAGGTGTAAGTAAAATTTACATTGAGCATCAATACTAAGTGCACTTATAGTTATAAGTAGTTGCACCTAGGTGCATGAATGTTTGCGGGTGGTTTTCACGGGTACTACTACCTGCTGAACTCGAACTCAGATCAATAAATGTTAACAAGACATAATTATATGCGCTTGCAGGCGAAAGTAGGTGCACTTGTAGGTGAAAGTAGGTGTACCCGATCAAAAAGTGCTGACACGTGACGCGCGCTGATTGATTCGTATTTCTCTTCTGGACACCTCTTCGCACCTGAGCGCGATTATATATATATCGCCCCAAAAAATCTGCCATCCAATATCCTTGATGTATTAAATACCCTAAAAAAGACGAAACAGTCCCTAATTACATAAAGCACACGAATGAATGAAATTAAATCCCTCAATCTGATACGTTAAAAAAAAAAAACCAAATAAACAGTGTAGATGAGTGCTTATGAACACACCGAATTGGAAGTTGCACCGGATTCAATAATATATATATTTTATTGAAAGTAAGATCGTTGTATTCCTATAGAGTATAACTCAAGTTACTTATATAAATTTTATTAGGTAAATAAAAGTGAATGAATAAAAATAGTAGTCTACTAAAAAATACGGAGTAATAGAAAGTGAGAATAAGTGTAGTATAGCTGGTCCGAAATGCATGGCGTGACTCCTTGACTGACAAGCATAAAGCATTCATCATTGGATAACGTGGTGGCGGGCTGGCGGCTTCAACAGGGTGTCAATTGTCGACGATTTGAGTGACGTAGGCGATGAGCTCACCCGCCGCCTATATATAGTGACGATGACTTGATCTTAGCTAGCTTGTTAGTTGGCGACGGGAGAAAAGACAATTAAGGAGAGCTAATAATGGAGATGACAGAGGACATTGTTATAGTCGGCGCTGGTATTGCCGGTCTCGCTACTGCTCTCGGACTTCACAGGTAAGACAAAAGTTTTAATTTGTGCAGCCCGGCCCGGCCCGCAGCTGCTGATCTGATCTGATAATGGTTGTACTATCGTCGTTTAGGCAGGGGTTGCGGAGCATAGTTCTTGAATCATCGGAGTCCTTAAGAGCCACTGGGTTTGCGCTTGGCTTGTGGACCAATGCCTGGAGGGCACTCGACGCTCTCTCCATCGGAGATTCACTCAGACAACAATCTGTTCAGAATAACGAGTGAGTCACATCTTTTTTTATTTATTTTTTTATTTTTTTTTTTAATTTTATTTACACACTGTTTGCCACCTACTATATAAAAGTTCCAAGTGCGGGTGAATGTTTCCCGTGCAGTTGTGTGGGTGATTGATGTGCGTGAGTTTTTTTTTGTACTTAATGTGTGTAAGGTTTGTACTTAATGTGGTGAGTGTGTACTGCTTAATGTCCGTGTGAGTTTTGTACTTAAGTGTGTGAGTCTTGTGCTTAATGTGCGTGAGTTGTGTGTTTAATGTGTGTAATTTCGGTGCTTAATGTACGCGAGTCTTGTGCTTAATGTGCGTGAGTCTTGTGCTTAAGTGCGTGAGTTTTGTATTTAATGTGCGTGAGTGTGTACTTAATGTGAGTGGTTGTTAAAACTTAAGGTGCGTGAGTTTGTATTCTGAATGTATTTTGTTCGTCTGTTTAATGTGCGTATGTTGTGTACTTAAAATACGTTAGTGTAATGTTTAATGTAAGTCCACCCACACAACCGACTGAACAAAGGACGCTCAAATCAAAAAGTCTAATACAGAGTTCCCACAAGAGTCGAACACACTTTGTGGCCGACTTATCAAGTGAACCCTCAGACCAACTTCTTTTTTTTTTTTTTTTTTTTTTTTTTTTTTTTTTTTTTTGTGACGAGGGAGTCACTAAACTTGCCTTGTCATTTTGCTGATAAAGGTTGAGGTAAACCAGTTAAGTTGTGTGAGTCTTGAAAGCTTCTGATTGTTGATAAATGGTGCAGGTTTCAGGTTTTCTCTGCAGATTCTGGCCTCCCAACTGCTGCTATACCACTGCAGGTGTATAAGAACCAGTGAGTTATACCAAACCTTTATGCTCATTCTTGTATGCATGCCTTTCATATATATTAACTATTATACGAGTCCTTTATGCCAGCTTTCTGGTTAGTTTTCAATAAACAATTCTCTCATTAATAACAGACAGTGGAACATATATATATAATGTTGTTTCTTCTGCTAAAACCTTTCAGAGGAATATGACAATATTAGTTTAAAGAATAGTTGGAGAAAATTTTGCTTGACATGAATAACTGTACTGACAAATTTTGTCTGAGTCCTTAAAATTGCGGTTTTAGAAAGACATGGAAGTCATCTAAGCATGGCTATTGTTCTGTTTTAATTTGATGTTATGGAGTAGACATTTTGAAAGCCGGTGCATGAGAAGGAAAGTGTTACTGGAGACATTACACAAAGAGCTGCCCGAAGGAACTATAAGGTACTCTTCAAAGGTTGTTATGATTGAGGAATCGGGGCTGTTCAAATTGGTTCATCTTGCGGATGGATCCGTTATCAGAACAAAGGTAAAACATTTTAGTGTTTATAAGTAAAGTAAATCTAGTCAATTATGAGATTCTCAAACTGGCTTAAGATTATTTGAACTGCCATTTTCTGTGTCCTCAAGGTCGTGATTGGGTGTGATGGAGTCAATTCCGTGGTGGCCAAGTGGCTCGGGCTCCAGAATGCAGTTGATTCCAAGAGGTCAGCCATTAGAGGATTTTTGGAGTGTCCAGAAAAGCATGGGTATGAGCCAAAGTTCTATGCTTTTTTTGGAGGCGGCATTCGTTTCGGTTTTCTTCCCTGTGATGAGACGGGCTTGTATTGGTTTTGCACTTACAATCAATCCACTGCCCAATGTAAGCAAACTAATGCATATTCGTTCTGAACATCTTCTTAGCTGATAGCTGTTAGCTGATTGAGTTAGTGTGTTTGACTAGTTGATAGCATTAGCTGATTGCAGAAAAGTGTTTGGTAAATTAGCTGTTAGCTGTTAGCTGATTAACGAGTTTCCTGTTGCAGTTGATGAAAATGCAGAACAAGATCCGGTTAAACTAAAGGAGTTTGTGCTAAGCAAGACTAGGGATGTGTCGAAAGAAGTGACTGGCATTCTCGAGAGAACTCCCCTTGACTGCATTTTCTCCGCTAAGTTGAAGCTGAGACTACCATGGAATGTTTTGCTGGGAGATATTACCAGAAGCAACATTTGTGTAGCGGGCGACGCTCTTCATCCCATGACGCCAGATCTCGCACAGGGCGGATGCTCAGCGCTCGAAGACAGCATCATCCTCTCCCGGTGCCTTGCAGAGGCATTCTTGGCAAAGCCAAGAGGCGACATTGCAGACGACCAAAACGCCAATGAAGAATTCAATAGGATAAAAAAGGCTCTCGACAAATACGCTAAGGAGAGAAGGTGGAGAAGCTCTCTTCTCATCACTGGTGCTTATTTGAATGGTTTCATTCAAGAGAGTAATAACAAAGTGATCAGCTTCCTGAGAGAGAAGTTCTTGGCTCGTTACACCCTGAGGATTATGCTAAGTGTAGCTGATTTTGATTGTGGGAAACTGCTGTTATAAAGGGCAAACCGGGTGAATTCTAGATGGGGAACCCAACTTTGAAACCCAATTTTATGCTGTGTAATCTGATATTAAAGAAAAGATGATTCCCTACACCTTCGAGATTAGATACTAGTTGCCTTAGCTTTTGTTTGAAGTTGTTTGTCAGCTTATGTATAAGAATAAATTTTGTCCAAATAAACTAAGGCTCCAGCATGAGTCATGTTGATGGTGACTTCTTGGTTGGGGATACTTCTCTTAGTGGTTTATCTCTTTATGTTGATTGGTGTTGAGATTAATAAGAACAAGAAAAATAATAATGGCAGAAAGTAAAGAAGACAGGATTTACGTGGTTCGGCAATGTGCCTACATCCACGGGAGTGAAAGTATTCTCTTATTATTTGTGATGGTGTTCAGGTGATGAGATACATTGATTATATTTATAGGCATATACTCTCCCTTTCACTCCTATTCCTTATATGAGACAAACTCATATTCCTAATCCTGAGACAAACTCATATTCCTAATCCTTATATGAGACAAACACAACAAATCTCCACCTTGGCGAATATGCTCTCTAGGAGAAAAAAGATAACTCAACAAATCTCCACCTTGGCAAACATGCCCTTTAGGAGAAAATACTTATCTAACCATCTCCACCTTCGCAAATAAGCCCTTTAGGAGAAAAAACTCATCTCATAGTCTCCCTGGATTAGGACCACCATGTTCATTTAACATTTGGAAACACCCAACAAGTCCAAACAATGTTTGAACTTGTCACTAGTAACTGCCTTGGTCAACATGTCTGCTGCATTCTCACTTGTATGAATTTTCTGCAACAAAATCTCACCAGAAACAACCAACTCTCTGACCTTATGAAACCTTACATCAATATGTTTGGTTCTGGCATGGTACACTTGATTTTTAGCTAAGAAGATGGCACTTTGACTGTCACAGTGTAATTGAACTCCATCTTGCTCAATACCCAACTCCTTAATCAAACCTGAAAGCCACAAAGCCTCTTTAGCTGCCTCAGTCACGGCCATGTATTCTGCTTCAGTTGTAGACAAAGCTACAATAGACTGAACTGATGATCTCCAGCAAATAGGACCACCCCCAAGAGTAAAAACATACCCTGTTGTAGAACGTCTATTATCCATGTCACCAGCATAATCAGAATCCACATATCCCATGAGTACATGATCATTCCGTTGACTCCCAAAAACAATACCATGCCCCATAGTGCCTCTTAAGTACCGGAGAATCCATTTAACTGCTTCCCAATGCTGCTTCCCAGGTTTAGACATGTACTTACTAACTTGGCTAACAGCATGAGCCAAATCAGGTCGAGTACAAACCATTGCATACATTAAACAGCCAACTGCACTAGCATAAGGAACCTTTGCCATATTTTCAATCTCATTAACTGTTTGAGGACACTGACTGGATGAGAGTTTAAAATGATTAGCCAAAGGGTACTAACCGGTTTAGACTTACTCATCCCAAACCTGTCAAGAATTTTCTCTATATAACTCTGTTGAGTTAGCCACAACTTTCTTGCACTTCTATCCCTGTGAATTTCCATGCCAAGAATTTTCTGTGCAACTCCTAAGTCTTTCATATCAAATTCCTGACCCAATAAAACTTTCAATGCAGTAATATCATTCATACTCTTAGCAGCAATCAACATATCATCCACATACAGTAACAGAAAAATAAAAGAACCATCACCAAGGCTTTTCACATAGACACAACAATCATACTCACAACGTGTATAGCCAATTTGAATCATGTAAGCATCGAACCGCTTGTACCACTGCCGTGGAGCCTGTTTCAGCCCATACAAAGACCTCTTGAGTCGACAAACCAGATGCTCACCTCCGGGTTTAACAAACCCTTCAGGTTGCTTCATGTAAATTTTCTCATCTAGATCACCATGTAAAAAAGCAGTTTTCACATCCATTTGTTCCAAATGCAAATCCCAAATGGCTACCAAAGCAAGTACTAATCTGATAGAAGTATGTCTAACAACAGGAGAGAAAACCTCATCATAATCTATCCCCTTCTGTTGAGAAAACCCCTTCGCAACTAACCTAGCCTTAAACTTTTCCCCTTCTTTTTCTGATACTGGTGGCTTTTTCCTATAGACCCACTTGCACCCTATAGCCTTCTTTCCTTGAGGAAGTTGAGCTAACTCCCAAGTATGATTCTGATGTAAAGACTCCATCTCCTCAATCATACCTGCCATCCATTTATCTTTCTCCTGGCTAGAAATAGCCTCTTGAAAGGTAACTGGATCATTATTAGAAACAAGAAGTGCAAAAGAAACCATATCCTCAAACCCATACCTACTAGGTGGTTTGACATTGGTGCGTCTCGATCTATCTCTAGCCAAACTGTAATCTTGTAAATTTTCTGAACTCGAACCTGCTGCAGATGTAGAATCTGCAACTTCTTGAGTCTCAATCGTAGGTGGATTAACTACTTTCTCACTCAAAGGTACACGATCCATATCCACTTCTACTGTGCTAGAACCATCAACTAGTGCATCTTCTTTCTTTGGCTGGAACATGAAATTCTCATCAAACACCGCATCTCTGCTAATCACCACCTTTTTGGTTGCAGGATCCCAAAACTTATATCCTTTTACACCTTTCTTGTAACCCAAAAAGATGCACTTCTTCGACTTGGGATCTAACTTTGATCTCTCATCACCTGGAATAAGAACATAACTTGGACAACCAAAAACTCGTAAGTGATCAAAACTTACAGGATTACCTAACCAAACCTCCTCAGGAACCTTGCCACCAAGTGATGTCCGTGGTGATCTATTGATCAAGTAACATGCCATGTTCACTGCTTCTGCCCAAAAACACTTAGAGAGCCCAGCATTCAATCTGAGACACCTTGCTCTCTCAGCAATGGTTCTATTCAGTCGCTCAGCAACACCATTCTGTTGTGGTGTCTTACGCACTGTATAGTGCCTTTGAATTCCATGTTCTGCACAGAATTTCTGAAATTCTTTCTCAGTATATTCTGTCCCGTTGTCAGACCTCAAGTACTTGATTTTTCTTCCAGTCTGGTTCTCAACCTCAGCTTTCCACAACTTAAATTTCTCAAACACTTCAGATTTATGTTTCAAGAAATACACCCAGACTTTCCTAGAAAAATCGTCAGTAAATGTAACATAATATCGGGAGCCACCCATTGAAGGTTCCCTGGTAGGTCCCCAAACATCAGAATGCACATAATCTAGAATCCCTTTAGTTTTATGCTGCCCAGTAGAAAAACTGACTCTAGTTTGTTTCCCAAGGACACAGAACTCACAGAAATCCAACTTACAACATTTAACTCCTTTTAACAGATTCCTTTTGTGCAAATCAGACAAACCACGTTCACCAAGGTGACCCAAACGTAAATGCCACAACCTAGTAGTATCATCACTAGACTCAACAGAATGTGCTCCACCTACAACAGTACTACCCAACAACCTATATATGTTCCCTGTGGTCCTTTTCCCTTTCATCACAGTTAAAACACCCTTACTAATTTTAATGGTTTCCTTATCACTCTCAGACTTATGAACAAAACCATTAGCATGCAAACTGCCAAGAGAAATCAGGTTCTTAGTTAACCCCGGTATATGTCTAACATCATGCAAAGTTCTGACAATACCATCATACATCTGGATGTTAACATCACCAATACCTATGATATTATGACATCTATCATCACCCAGAAAAACAGAACCGAAAGTACCTGACTTATAGGTTGTGAACCATTCCCTGTTAGGTGTAATATGATAAGAGCACCCTGAGTCTAGAATCCATGCATCTGACAACTTACTTGATGAAACTGCTAGAACATCACCTTCACTATAATCTGAGTCATCAGCATGCACCACGTTCGCCGCCTCTTGTTGTGTTTTCAACTTTGGACAATCTCTCTTAATGTGCCCAATCTCATTACACCCGTAGCACCGGATTTTCCTGCTATTTCTGGACTTAGACCTGGATTTTCTCCTTCCAGAATTACCCTTCTCTTGCTTCCTTCCACGATCCTGACCCTCTTTAGCATACAAACTTTCACCAACAGACGATCCATCTCCTACACCCCGCATGCGCTTATTATGAGCCTGCAGGGCCGCAGAGATCTCGCTGTATTTAACCGTGCTTTTCCCGTATGTTAAAGTAGTCACCAGATGTTCAAAGGAAAAAGGTAATGAACATAGCAAGATCATCGCCTTGTCTTCATCTTCAATCTTGACATCAAGCCTGGCCAGATCTGAGATTATCTGGTTGAAGACATTAATATGATGCACCAAGTCTGAACCCTCCTGCATCTTAAGCCCATAAAGCCTTTGCTTTAGATACAGTTTGTTCGTTAGAGATTTTTCCATAAACTGAGTTTCCAATTTATCCCAAATTTCTTTTGGGGCTTCCAGGGCCATAACGTGATACACAATTCCATCATCCAGGCATAACCGAATGGTTCCTGCCGCACGCTCCTTCAAATCCTCCCAATCATTCTCATCCAGATTAGCTGGCTTTTCCGCCTTCAAAGTTTTGAGAAGACCCTGTTGTGCCAACAAATCCTTTACCCTGGACTGCCATAACCCAAAATTCCCTGTACCATCAAATTTTGATACCTCGAATTTTGTACTTGAACTGGTCATCTCAACAGTGCTCTGATACCAATTTGTTGAGATTAATAAGAACAAGAAAAATAATAATGGCAGAAAGTAAAGAAGACAGGATTTACGTGGTTCGGCAATGTGCCTACATCCACGGGAGTGAAAGTATTCTCTTATTATTTGTGATGGTGTTCAGGTGATGAGATACATTGATTATATTTATAGGCATATACTCTCCCTTTCACTCCTATTCCTTATATGAGACAAACTCATATTCCTAATCCTGAGACAAACTCATATTCCTAATCCTTATATGAGACAAACACAACAATTGGAGTTAGAAAGCAGACTCAACAAATAGAGAAAGGGGAATGGAGACGACAGTGGATATTGTTATAGTGGGTGGTGGAATTGCTGGTCTGGCTACTTCTTTGGGACTTCACAGGTACAAAATGCTGCTAGCAATTGATTGCAGAATATGGCTCTGTTTGGCGGTGCTTATTTAGGAGCTTATAACTTATTTTAAGATACTAATAAGCTATAAGTTCTGTTTGGTAATGTTCTCAAAATAAGCTAGTAGCTTGCGTTTAATGATTTTGTTCTTTAGGTTGGGACTGCAGAGCTTAGTTTTGGAATCATCCGAGTCTTTAAGGGTCACAGGGTTTGTGCTTACGTTGTGGACTAATGCCTGGAGGGCACTTGACGCTCTGGGCATTGCAGATTCACTCAGACAGCATTCTCTTCCCATTACCGAGTTAGTCCACATCTAAGCCATCCCTTTCTCCCTTTTCTGTTTCAAATTTTTCTATCACAATGCCTAGAATTACACTACTATTCAGATTCGGGACTTGAGAAATCATCTGTGCCATTGGATGTGTACATGAATAGGTAGCTATACAGATACTCTATCTTGAACTGAACCGAATACCGTTTGACTTTTAAAAAATATATAATAATAACAATAATAATAATAAATAAAGAAAGAAATAAATAAAAAGTAAATCAAAGTCCCTTGCTGCTTGCTCTGCCGTTCAGCTCATATTCTCACGATTGTCTCTCGTAAATGTTTTATTTGATTTCTTTATGGTTTGTTATCAAAAGTTTTATATTATGTGTTATGGTGTTTACATATATAGTCCATATCCAAAATCTAATATATAACAAAATAGCAATCCAAAGTTCAAACTATATTCGGTTCGGTTCATATTTTACCGAATATTCAGTTCGGTTCGAGTTTTTACCGAACAGTTCAGTATACAAGAATCTATTACCATTCGGTTGTTCGGTATATTACCGAATCTAACTAGTTTGGTACGGTTTGGTTTGAGAAAACTAAACCGAATTGCCCACCCTTAAAGTTAATTACCAAAATGGTCCATTGACTATAGCGAATTACCAATTTGGTCCAAAGTTAACGGTTGACTAACAGTCAAACAAACGGAGGACCAAATTGGTTAAGATTTTTAAAGTTGAGGGACTTAATTACTCAAAAAAATAGTTAAGGACCAAATTGGTAATTTTATTGTAGTCAATGGACCATTTCTATAATTAACTCAAAAAAAAATTACTTTTTGACTGACCAAATATTAATTTTAGTCCCACGAGTATCAGCAAAATGCATTAAAATTTATCACGCATGTCACTCTTCCATTTAGGATATGTTAAAAATTATAAATTGAGTTCTACTACATGTACTTTTAAAACTTATCTTATTTCCATTTACTCTCTGATGTGGCGGTCCTAAATAAACCATTGAATTCGGAGAAAAAGATTAATTAACATTTCTAACAGATTAAATCCAGGTTGTTGCTGACTGGATTGTTAAATTTTTATTTTATTTAAGTTTTTTTTTTTTAAATTATAATTCACTTTAAAGGATCAAAGTACCTATGAAGTTCTTGAGTAAGTATAAATTTAATAATATGGAAGGATGGTGTTGAGAGTGGATAGCTAGTCAAAAATGCATGGCGTGACGCCTTGAGTGACAAGCATCCTATCATTGTATAACGTGGTGGCGGGCTGCGGCTTCAACAAGGTGTCAAATGTCGAGGACTTGAGTGACGTAGGCGATGAGCTCACCCGTCGTCTACATATACAGTGACGATGACTTGATCTTAGCTTGTTAGTTGACGACGGGGAAAAGACAATTAAGGAGAGCTAATGGAGATGATTGCAGAGGACATTGTTATAGTCGGCGCTGGTATTGCCGGTCTCGCTACCGCTCTCGGACTTCACAGGTAAGAAATTAGCCACTTCAATTCATTCAACCCGGCCCGGCCCGGCCCGCAGCGGCTGATCTGATCTGATAATGGTTCGTTTAGGCAGGGGGTGCGGAGCATTGTTCTTGAATCATCGGAGTCCTTAAGAGCCACAGGATTTGCGCTTGGCTTGTGGACCAACGCCTGGAGGGCACTCGACGCTCTCGCCATCGGGGATTCACTCAGACAACAATCTGTTCAGAATAATGAGTGAGTCACAAATTTTGTTTTATTTTATTTACACACTGATTGTTAATTTGTTCCTTACTGTTTAACCTCTACCCGAGAGTAGGGACGGAGATTTTTATAAATTAAAACTGTAAATCTAAGTTGAAGCTAAAGGATTTGAACTACTGACCTTTATTATTATAGCCAAATATGTGTTTTTTCAACTAATTTAACTCAATTCTCATTAACATTTAATAATTTTTTTATACTAATACTAAAACTTGTACTATATATACATACAAATGCTATATATGGAATGGGGTGGAGTGAGGGTGGGGGTGGGGGAAGGGACAGCTGCCCCCTGCCCCCTTTAGCTCCGTCCCTGCCTGAGAGTGTGCACTGGTCCGCAAAGGACTAGGGAGAGTGTGCACTAGTCGGAGAGGACTAGCTCAAATAAAAAAGTCTAATACACAACTCCCACGGGAGTCGAACACACTTTGTGGCCGGTTATCAAGTGAACCCTCAGACCAACTTAGTTTTATTTATTTTTTGGGTGGGTGAAGAGGTAGTCACTGAACCTGCCTTGTCATCTAGCTGATAAAAATTGACTGTACAAGGAGGTAAACCAGCTTAAGTTGTTCATGGCTGACCGGTTCAAACTAGAAAGTCCCTAGCTATATGGGCCTTCTTGTTTACCAAGCCTAGGTGGTTGTGAAGAATATGAGTCTTGAAAGCTTCTGATTGGTTGATAAATGGTGCAGGTTTCAGGTTTTCTCTGCAGATTCTGGCCTCCCAACTGCTGCTATACCACTGCAGGCGCATAAGAACCAGTGAGTTATGCTGATTCTTGTTTGCCTTTCATATATATTAGCTATTGTATGAGTCCTTTATGCCTTTCTGGTTAGTCTTCAATAAACAAACAATTCTCTCATTATATTAATAACAGACAGTGGAACATATATAATGTTGTTTCTTCTGCTAAAGTCTTTCAGAGGAATATGACAATGTTAGTTTAAAGAATAGTTGGAGAAAATTTTGATTGACATGAATAACTGTACCTACAAATTTAATTTTGTCTGAGTCCTTAAAATTGCGGTTTTAGAAAGACATGAAAGTCGGCTAAGCACGGCTATTGTTCTGTTTTAATTTGATGTTATGGAGTAGACATTTTGAAAGCCGGTGCATGAGAAGGAAAGTGCTACTGGAGACATTACATAAAGAGTTGCCCAAAGGAACTATAAGGTACTCTTCAAAGGTTGTTATGATTGAGGAATCGGGACTGTTCAAATTGGTTCATCTTGCAGATGGATCCATTATCAGAACAAAGGTAAAACATTTTAGTGTTTGTAAGTAAATCTAGTCAATTATGAGATTCTCAAACTGGCTAAGATTAAACTGCCATTTTCTGTGTCCTCAAGGTCGTGATTGGGTGTGATGGAGTCAATTCCGTGGTGGCCAAGTGGCTCGGGCTCCAGAATGCAGTTGATTCCAAGAGGTCAGCCATTAGAGGATTTGTGGAGTTTCCAGAAAAGCATGGGTATGAGCCAAAGGTCTATGCTTTTTTTGGAGGTGGTGTTCGATTCGGGTTTCTTCCCTGTGATGAGACGGGCTTGTATTGGTTTTGCACTTACAATCAATCCATTGCCCACTGTAAGCAAACTAATGCATATTCATTCTGAACATCTTCCTAGCTGTTAGCTGATTGAGTTAGTGGGTTTGACTAGTTGATAGCATTAGCTGATTGTAGAAAATTGTTTGGTAAATCAGCTGTTAGCTGATTAACGAGTTTCGTGCTGTCAATTCGTTGCAGTTGATGAAAATGCAGAACAAGATCCGGTTAAGCTAAAGGAGTTTGTGCTAAGCAAGACTAGGGATGTGTCGAAAGAAGTGACTGGCATTCTCGAGAGAACTCCACTCGACTGCATTTCCTCCGCTAAGTTGAAACTGAGACTACCATGGAATGTTTTGCTGGGAGATATTACCAGAAGCAACATTTGTGTAGCGGGAGACGCCCTTCATCCCATGACACCGGATCTCGGACAGGGCGGATGCTCAGCGCTTGAAGACAGCATCATCCTCTCCCGGTGCCTTGCAGAGGCGTTCTTGGCAAAGCCAAGAGGCGACATTGCAGACGACCAAAACGCCAATGAAGAATTCAATAGGATAAAAAAGGCTCTCGACAAATACGCTAAAGAGAGAAGATGGAGAAGCGCTCTTCTCATCACTGGTGCTTATTTGACTGGTTTCATTCAAGAGAGTAATAACAAAGTCATCAGCTTCCTGAGAGAGAAGTTCTTGGCTCGTTACACACTGAGGATTGTGCTAAGTGTAGCTGATTTTGATTGCGGGAAACTGCTGTTATCTTGATTCAGATCATAAAGGGCAAACCGGGTGAATTTTAGACGGGGAACCCAAATTTGAAACCCAATTTTATGCTGTGTAATCTGATATTAAAGGAAAGATGATTAGCTATACCTTCGAGATTAGATACTAGTTGCCTTAGCTTTTGTTTGAAGTTGCTTGTCAGCTTATGTATAAGAATAAATTTTGTCCAAATAAACTAAGGCTCCCGCATGAATCATGTTGATGGTGACTTCTTGGTTGGATACTTCTCTTAGTGGTTTTATCTCCTTTTGTTGATTGGAGTTAGAAAGCAGACTCAACAAATTGAGGAAGGGGAATGGAGACGACAGTGGATATTGTTATAGTGGGCGGTGGAATTGCTGGTCTGGCTACTTCTTTGGGACTTCACAGGTACGAATATGCTACAGCCATATATGGCTCTGTTTGGCAGAGCTTATTTAGGAACTTATAGGTTATTTTAAGCTACTAATAAGTTATAAGCTCTCCTAGTAGCTTAGGTCTAATGATTTTGTTCTTTAGGTTGGGACTGCAGAGCTTAGTTTTGGAATCATCCGAGTCTTTAAGGATCACAGGGTTTGCACTTACGTTGTGGACTAATGCCTGGAGGGCACTCGACGCTCTGGGCGTTGCAGATTCACTCAGACAGCATTCTCTTCCCATTACTGAGTTAGTCCTCATCTAAGCCATCCCTTTCTCCCTTTTCTGTTTCAATTTTTTCTATCACAATGCCTAGAATGACACCACTATTTAATGGTACAGGTTTCAAGTTATCTCTGCAGATTCGGGACTTGAGAAATCATCTGTGCCATTGGATGTGTACAGGAATAGGTAGCTATACAGATACTCTATCATGATTTTTTTTCCCGGCTTTCCTATCAGCCAATCTATGAGTATATCGTGTTGTATTAGAAACGTTGAATGCCGGTGCTTGAGAAGGAAGCTGTTACTGGAGACATTAGAGAAAGAACTTCCCCAAGGAACCGTCAGGTATTCTTCTAAGGTTGTTTTGATTGAAGAATCAGGACCATACAAATTGGTTCATCTAGCAGATGGATCCCTTGTGAGAACCAGGGTCTTGATTGGGTGTGATGGAGTCAATTCTGTGGTGGCCAAGTGGCTGGGACTCCAAAAACCAGTTGATTCCAAGAGGGCGGACATTAGGGGATTTGTCGAGTATCCAGATAAACACAGTTTTGAGCCAAAGTTCCATCTTCTCGTTGGTGCTCAAGTTCACTTTGGCTTTCTTCCTTGTGATGATAATGGCATGTATTGGTTCTACAATTTCACTCCATCCATTGCCCATCGTAAGCAAATTTTTCTGCACCGCTTTCCATATTCTGTGGCTGAAGATGCTGAACATGGCTTTGTTTGGCAGAGCTTATTTAGGAGCTTATAGCTTATTTTAAGCTACTAATTAATAAGATTTCATCTTTCTAATTTGATAACAGTTGATCAAAGTGCAACCAAAGACCCTGCTATGCTGAAGGAGTTTGTGTTGAGCAAGATCAAGAACGCGTCAAATGAAGTGAAGGGCGTCGTGGAGAGAACTCCACTCGACTGCATTTCCTGTGTCGGGTTGAAGCTGAGACTGCCATGGAATGTTTTACTCGGAGATATTGTCAGAAACAACATCTGTGTTGCAGGTGATGCCCTTCATCCAATGACACCAGATATTGGCCAGGGAGGATGTTCAGCTCTAGAAGACAGCGTTTTCCTTGCCCGACGCCTAGGGGAAGCGTTCTTGTTGAAACCGGGAGGAGCGGTTGCAGATGAAGAATTCGAAAGGATCAGATATGGGCTTGGTAGTTACGCCAAAGAGAGGAGATGCCGAAGCTTTCTTCTCATCAGTTGTGCTTACTTGATCGGTTCCATTCAAGGGAGTGATAACCGGGTGGTGAGTTTCTTGAGGGACAACTTCTTGGCTAGATACACTTTGGCCATAGTGTTGGGAATGGCAGATTTCGATTGTGGGAAACTGTTGACATCTCGATTAAGATAGTAATTTCAATACGTTATTTAGAGTGTTCTCATTTCATTGTTACACAGTGAAAATTTAAGCATATTTGCGAATAAATGTGTATTCTCAGATTCCAGTCACTACCCGAATGATCTTAGCTTACATTTAAAACTAAAAAAAATCAAGAACCCAAGTTTTTTGCTGTCTGGTTCCAAGTCATGTTCCGCACAAATCTTGATTATTATGAAGGGAAAACCGGGTGCATCCTATAGATGGGAACCCATATTTGAAACCTGATTTTATGCTGTGTATTGGGATATTAAAGAAAATGGTATTTTCTAGGCCTTCTAATTTTTTATTATTTTATTTATTTTTTTTTAAAAAAAGATGTTAGTGGCCTAGTGGCCTTAGCTTTTGTCTGGAGTTGTTTGTGAGCTTATGTAGAAGAAATGAAGAATAATTTTCTGTCCAAATAAACTAATGCTCCAGCATGGATCACACCGATGGTGACTTCTTGTCTGTTTGTACAAGAGAGTAGTCAAATGTTTTTGTGTCTGTCGTTTTCTTTGGTTGGATGCTCCTCTTAGTGGTGTATCTCCTTTGTTGACTGGAGTTTGGAGCAAATAGAGGAGGGTGAAATGGAGACAACAGTGGATATTGTTATTGCCGGTGGTGGAATTGCAGGTCTCGCTACTTCTTTGGGACTTCACAGGTACCAATTCAAACACTTCTTTGCTGCACCCATAGCTAGCTGTTGATTGATTGTTACTTGCATCTAAATCTAATCTGTTCTTTAGGCTGGGGCTGCAGAGCTTAGTTTTGGAATCATCCGAGTCTTTAAGAGCCGGAGGGTTTGGGTTTATGTTGTGGAATAACGCCTGGAGGGCACTCGAAGCTCTGGGCGTTGCAGATTCCCTCAGACCACATTCTCTTCCCATTAAAGAGTTAGCAAACTCGATCTTTATTTTGTGAATTATGCGAAAGAATCAGTTTCTCAGGCTTTAATTTATTGGTGGTGAATGAATGGTACAGGCTTCGAGTTTTCTCTGCAGATTCCGGGCTTCAGACCTCATCTGTGCCGTTGGATGTGTACAAGAATAGGTATACTTTATCATGATTGATTTCTTTTTCCAGCTTTCATATATATCAGCCAATCTATGAGTATATATATCGTGTTGTATTAGAAACTCTGAAAGCCGATGCTTGAGAAGGAAGCTGTTACTCGAGACATTAGAGAAAGAACTTCCCCAAGGAACTGTCAGGTATTCTTCTAAGGTTGTTTTGATTGAAGAATCAGGACCCTTCAAATTGGTTCATCTGGCAGATGGATCCATTGTCAGAACAAAGGTAAAAGTATAAACAATTGAATGATGCGTTCTGTTTCAACTAAAAGTTTAAACTGATAGTGAAACTTCAACGTAAGGTCTTGATTGGGTGTGATGGAGTGAAGTCTGTGGTGGCGAACTGGTTAGGACTCGAAAAACCGGTTGATTCGAAGAGGATAGGCATTAGGGGATTTGTCGAGTATCCAAACAAACATGGTTTCGAGCCCAATTTCTATCTTCTCATTGGCGTTGGAGTTCGCTTTGGCATTCTTCCTTATGATGACAATGGCTTGTATTGGTTCTACAATTTCACTCCATCCATTGCAGGCTGTAAGCAAAATTCTCTGCACTGCTTTCCATATTCTGTAGCTGAAGATGCTGAGCATGGCTTGGATTGACAGAGCTTATTTAGGAGCTTATAACTTATTTTAAAATACTAATAAGTTTTCACGTTTCCAATTCGGTAACAGTTGATCAAAGTGCAAAAAAAGACCCTGTTAAGCTGAAGGAGTTCGTGTTGAGCAAGATCAAGAACGCGTCGAATGAAGTAAAGGGCGTTGTGGAGAGAACGCCACTCGACTGCATTTCGTGTGTTAGGTTGAAACTGAGACTGCCGTGGAATGTTTTGGTGCGAGACATTGTTAGAGACAACATTTGTGTTGCGGGTGATGCCCTTCATCCTATGACACCCGACATTGGCCAAGGTGCCTGTTCGGCTCTGGAAGACAGCGTTATCCTTGCCCGTCGCCTAGGAGAAGCGTTGAAACCGGGTGGAGGCGTTGTAGATGAAGAATTTAGGAGGATCAGAAATGGGCTTGATAGGTATGGCAAGGAGAGGAGATGGAGAAGCTTTCTGCTCATCAGTTGTTCTTATTTGATTGGTTTCATTCAAGAGAGTGATAATAGAGTGGTGAGATTCTTGAGGGAGAAGTTCTTGGCTAGATACAGTTTGGCCATAGTATTGGGCATGGCTGATTTTGATTGTGGGAAACTTGTGTTTTCTTGATCTTCCCCAAGTCAAGAATTTTGATTAGTTGGGAGAAGAATTTTGATCTAATTAGAATTAACTCTATACGATAGTCTAATTGGCGGCAAATTATGCCCTGGAAACGTGTTCATCGTGAATGGTGAACACAAGGTCAAACGACGTCGTTTTTAGGCAAAAAAAAAAAAAAATCGCGGATGTGAAGTTAACGGCGCGCGTTGATCAAATTATGAATTTTCTGTTATGAGATTATGAATTTTCATAAAATTCATAATCTCATAACAGAAAATTCATAATCGCATAACAGAAAATTCATAATCGCAAACAGAAAATTCATAATCTCATAATAGAAAATTCATAATCTTATAACAGAAAATTCATAATCTCATGGTTCCAAAGTGAATGTGTAGGCATGGTTCCAAAGTGAATTTGCAGGCATGGATTCATAATTTATGAATGTCCGTGATTTTGGACGGGAATGTGTAGGCATGGTTCCAAAGTGAATGTGCAGGCATGAATTTATAATTTATGAATGTCCGAAATCATTGTTCACTTCAAATTAAAGTGAAACCGCAAAATGTAAAAATGAAGAAGAAAAGTCACGCAATTAATTAAGAAAAAAAAATAATAATAACGGTGTACTAACCCCGTTAGAACCGTGTTCACCACTCACATGGTGAACACGGTTCCATGGCATAATGCTCCCTAATTGGCACAATAACTTAAACAATAAATTCAATTTATTAAGTTCTATATCGTCATTACGTAATGTAAACACAAATCATTACCTCCAATCTGATCTTCACTATCACTATTTATTACATATGTTCAACAACATTGAAATAAATCAACAAATTTGAATTTGGGTCTATGCACCCCCAATGAAAGAGCTTAATTTTTTTGATAATCATATTCAAATTAATTAAGGAAAACATAGCTCTAGGCCGAAAACCGCTTGAATATTTTGATTTTCGATTCAGTTTTAATTATAAAGGAAAAAAAATTATTTTTTTGGGTCGAATTATCAATTTTTTAAAGATAAAATCGAAAATCAATCGAAAAACTGAAGATTAATCTAAAGGGGAAAAAAAAACTATCCTCATCCCATTTACATTTTGCAAGTCTATAGTCTATCACATTAATTTTAATCACTTATTGAATTGTACGGCATTTGTTAATCATATAATGTATAAATATAGTTCATTTATATCTCACTAAACTACTATTGTACTTGAGAACATTAATTTTAATTGATTATAAATACTAATATTTCATTTTTTCTTTAATAATTTAGTCTTTTAGCATTAGTCAAATAAATAAAATAAATTTAGCTATTTTACTAAAAAAAATTTAGTTATATTTAACCAACCAAAAACAATCAGTTTCGGTTATATTGGTTATGAAGGTTCAGTTAAGCCACAATCCACAAAGGTGTCATATGAGAACAAGGTGCTTGACAACTTTATAAGATTTGATTCTTACCAAAAACTAAAAATAAAGTATGAAATAACTCGACTATTTAATACACATACAGACTGTGATTTCTCCCTTCACCCATCTCCAATCTTCAAGCTGGAGGGGGTAGGGGGAGTTAATCCTTCTTATCAAAACAAGGATCATGATGAAAGGCATCTATAATAATATATTAATTATGATAATTTTGTAGTTAACAGCTGTTACGAATTGCTAATCAACATTAAAAATTGTTGGAGGACAAGGATGACGTGTCCTTAAAAGGCCACATAATCATATCAGTACATGTGCATCACACATGATAACAGTGGTGATGTTTCACATAATGTCAAAACTCAAAAGAGATCCATGTGAGGTTGCATGAGATGATTTCTATAGGAGCTATATATATATTATATGTTTTTATCACTAGAGGACATTCAATATGTTTTACCCTTTAAAGATTCCAAGTGTTTTTCTTCAAATACCAACAAATTCATGTTTTTTTTTTCTTCCTTGGTGTGATGGTTATTACACCATTGGTTCCAAAACACCAAATCATGTTTTAAATTAAATGTAATTAAAATAAAATAAAAACTTAAATTGTTTCCTGTTCAGTTGTGTCTTTTTTTTTTTTTTGATGTTTTAATATAAGTTGTTGAGGTTGGTTTTCAAAAAAAAAAAAAAAAAAAAAAAAAAAAAAAACTTAAATTTTAACAATTATAATCACATGAGAACCTTTAAAATGTTTTTTTTTTTAATAGAATAATGTTCAAATTGCAAGCGAAATGCAACTGGGTCATCATCAAACTCATAAAATAGCAATTGGGTCACTTAAATAATCCAATATAATGCAATTAAACTAAAATTGATGTGTTCTATAGGTATCATGGTTACCTCTTAAAAATTACTGGTATTATTTTTAATTTATTTTAATAATTTAAAATAAAATAAGGTTAAAAAGAACCACCCCAAATAGGAAAGGGGGTATGGAGTGGTTTTTATTTAATTAATTTAATTTAATTTATTTAAAATTATTAAAATAAATTTTTAATGGAGATAACTACCACGTCTGTCGATACTGGTAGGACATGTCAATTTTGATTTAATTGCATAATTTTGGATTGTTCAGAGATCTTACAAATTTTTTTAGTTGAATGACTAATTGCATTTTCATGTGTATTTCAATTGTCTATTTGAGCATTTTTTTTTTTCATACCAAGAAGTTAAACATAATGTATATTCCCTATCAACATCAACTATACTAAAACTGTACATGTATGTATCAAAATATATTGAACCTATTAAAATGAACTTATAGTATACTAAAAATAAATATAAAATATATTATGAATAAACTTGTATCATAATTCATCTTGCATTGTAAACATCGGTACTACACAATTTATAATTTGCCGGTGAGTTGCTATCGGAAGATAATTGATCATTTAAACTTGAACAAAGACTATAATGACTATTTCTACCTCATTTTATTTGGTATGTTTACTCTCCAATATTATAATGATCAAACTAATATTTCTTATTTATTTGCTTTGTAATGGTTTATTAATTATTATAAGGAAAATGATATTTTCCTTCTAAATTTGATCTTCTGTGGTTAAAAAAAATGTGATGTAATTTTAAATATATAAATTTTATTCACTAGTAATAAATTAAATAATATAAAGAATATATTAATTTATAAATAGTTTGCTTGTGGGCAAGGAATATTTTCGGTTCTCGTAATCCCCAATAAAAAAAAGTTATATTTTAAATTTTTTGTGAACATTACTGCAATTTTTTGTTTACAAAAATTAATAAAATATTATTATTAATGCAAAATGCCATGAGGGGGCTTCTTGTGTGCAGTGAACAAAAGTCTAGTCTCTATTGATCAATTAAGTCATCATAATTTATTCATCCACAAATTGTTGGGTCAGATGTCGGGACACCTGGAGTAGACGATTCGACCTTGTCACAAGAAAACAAGACCTCACGGTTCTAGGAGGAGCTGAATTTTACTTGCACATTGTACTTGTACACTTGCCTGTTACTTTCACTTTTAATACAAGTTACTGACATACAAAGTTTCAATTATTTACAAAAATATCACTTCATTTTTTTTTTTTAAATTACATGATATGTTGATCTTATCATATTGACGGCTCAGATTAATTCCTATTTCTTCTTCTTGTCCATTTTCGCTGGAGTACAATACTCTCTCTCTCTCTCTCTCTCTATATATATATATATATATATATATATATATATATATATATATATATATATATATATATATATATATATATAGAGTTGCATTCAAATACAAACCCTCTTAAAATATAAACTTGAATCCGTGCACACATTAACATACTTATATGCACACAGGGTGCACTATCAATAATTTTTTAGATTAGCTCGTGCACACATTAACATACTTACATGCACACAGCGCATAGGAGGAAAAATCACAACCCATCCATCAAAGCCCGTGCACACATTAACATACTTACATGTACACAATGCATAGGAGGAAAAAATCACAACCATCCATCAAAGCTCATGCACACATTAATATACTTACATGCACACTGGGCACACTGCCAATAATATCTGGGATTAGCTCGTTCAAATTAACATAATTACATGCACACCGTTTATATTTTAAGAGGGGTTTGTATTTAAAAATAATCATATATATATATATATATATATATATATATATATATATATATATATATATATATATATATATATATATACACGGCAGTGGAGATGAAAAACATTGGACAATTTTGATGAGTTGACGGCTTGTGTAGGCAAAGGCATGTGTGGATAGGGGGAAAGATAGCAGGGTGGAACGTGGGAATAATTGATTGAGCAGATTCACAAATTTTTGCAGGGATATGATATCATAAATTTCCATTACAATAACACAATTTCCTACACTACTGTACTCTCTCTGATCTTAGCTGCACAGAGATCACATGCGGGGTGGCCGGTGGCACCATTAAACAATTCTCCGCTACCTATATATACACGCGCCACCACCTTCTAAACACCAATCAAACACTTTCATACAAATTTCAATAATATAACCCTACTAGCTTCTCCTCATCGAATCCGCCATTGATCATCTTCTGATCTTCTTTCTTGATCATTTAATTTCACTGCAAGTTCAAGGATGGGCGTTGTCAATGGTGCAGTAGTCATGTTTGGGGTTTTCAGCCTCTTCTTCGTCGTCAATGTTAAAGCTTTCACGGCTTCTGGGTGGCAAAGTGCCCACGCCACCTTCTATGGTGGCAGTGATGCTTCCGGCACCATGGGTATGTATATAAAACTCTTTAACTCTTATATATATACTCCCTCTCTCAAATTGAATGATCTCTGACTAGTAACTGATCAGAATAATTTAAGACAGTTTACTTCCTTACTATCTTTTGTTAAGTAAGATTACAATATGAGTTTTATTCATGATATGTCTTTGAGTAATAAGGAGTGACATTTTCATAAGTTAAAGTTTTGAAGTGACTAACCAAATTGGTTGGTGTGAGTGAGTGTACACTTTCATTCTTTAAGAGAGGTCGGGAGTTTGAACCCCTTCTCGTATAAAAAAATCAATGGGTCAGCATTTTGCCCCTTAATTGGACTGCTAGATATGAAAGAGGATTAGTCTAAGTATGGTACAATCTTAAAAGGGTCTCTTACAGGCCCTCAGCTCCTCTGAGTATGATATGACTTTAAAAGTATCTCTTAGTATTAGGACCTACTCAAAGACAAAAAAGAAAAAAAAAAAAGTTTTGAAGTGACTTAAGAGTATGGCCTACTCTATCCAGCAATCCATTATTAATTACCAAAAGTTAGAAGTGACCAAGTATAATATTGATTTGTGACAGGGGGAGCATGTGGATATGGGAATTTATATGCTACTGGCTATGGGACCAGGACAGCAGCATTGAGCACAGCACTGTTCAACAATGGAGCCTCGTGTGGGCAGTGTTACAAGATCATTTGTGACTACCAAGCCGACCGTCAATGGTGCATAAAAGGAGCTTCGATCACCATCACCGCCACCAATTTTTGCCCGCCTAACTACGCTCTTCCTAGCAACAACGGCGGTTGGTGCAACCCTCCTCGCCCCCACTTTGACATGGCTCAGCCCGCTTGGGAAAAGATCGGAATTTATAGAGGTGGAATTGTTCCCGTTCTTTATCAAAGGTATTTCTAATCATCCACCTAAATCACATTAATACCAAATTTAGCCACATGACATTGGTCTAGCAGATAATAAGTCACTTGCTTCGGCAAGACCCCGCCTATCCCCGCAGGCTGGCCTCCTTTAGGCCCGCATTTTGGCGGGCGTGTTAGCCCGTCCCGCCACAAAGGCAGGCCCCGCTCTACCCATCCGCATTGACAGTTCTATTGCTTCTTAAGTTTGAGCCTTATTATAAACATTGAGGGTTTGATTTTACACTGGACTCTTTGAGCACAAAAGTGTCTGTTTGTTATTGAGTCTCTAAACTATATTGGTTTGATTTACTTTCAAATGGAATGTGAACAGATTCATGAGATCTAAAATATAGTATAACAAAACTAGGAATCTAGGTTATAAAATAAAATTAAAAAATACCAAGTTTGGATTCTAATGTTATCATGTGTGACATGTAACAGGGTGCCATGTAAGAAGCATGGTGGGGTTAGGTTTACGATCAACGGCCGGGATTTCTTTGAGCTGGTGATGCTCAACAACGTTGGAGGGCCAGGATCTATCCAATCTGTGCAAATCAAGGGCTCAAAAACCAACTGGATTGCAATGTCAAGAAACTGGGGAGCGAACTGGCAGTCAAACGCCTACCTCACCGGTCAATCCTTGTCGTTCAAGGTCACAGCCACCGACGGTGTAACCAAGATTTTCTCCGACGTTATTCCGGCCGGGTGGAGATTTGGGCAGACGTACTCAAGCCCAATTCAATTTGAATAAGCCCAACCCAAATATTGGGCTTAGATTTCTTGGCCCAACGGGCCGTGGCGTGCTTGGTAATTTTCGAAAGCAGCCCGCCATACTTTTGGGTATGACCCAAAATACACGGGCCTAGATCTCTCTAGTCCAAAATTGGGGCCACTAAAATGATTATATGATACTTTTGATTACAATTTGTGCCCTCAACTTTTCTTTTATTTCCTTCTGTGTCCGCTTGTAATACCTACAGCTCCATGTTATATTCATATACCAATTTTATTGAGTTTTACCAAATAAATTTTATGTGATTTAATTTTGAGATTAAATTTGATGAGATTGTATGTAGTTGGAAATGAAATTTCATGTTGGTGTTGGGGCAATATGGTATATGGAGCAAATCCAACATGTCCCGTGAATCCGTGATCATGTTAAAAAAATCAATAAGCCCTTTTCGGATTAGGGATATCAATTGTATCCGCACCTAACGAGGAATTTGATTCCCCGGTCCTATAGGGACGAGGATGGGAATAGAAATAGGGAATTGGAGATGGGGATGAGGGTGGGAATGGGGAGTGCTCTCCCTGCCCCGCCCTGTCCCGATATATATATATATATATATATATATATATATATATATATATATATATGTGTGTGTGTGTGTGTGTGTGTGTGTGTGTGTGTGTGTGTGTGTGTGTGTGTGTGTGTGTGTGTGTGTGTGTGTGGTGAGAGGGGGGGGGGGGGGGGGGGGAGGAGGGGGGCACACAACACACATATGTATTACTTTGTATACAATATATGGAGTATATAATTTTAGAAGCATTCTTGTCATTGTATGTCATGCTTATGAAATACATATTGAGTTAATACCCAAAATCGTCCTCGACTATAGTGATTTTTTTCAATTTCGTTCTAAACGACTTTGGTGACCTAATATCGTCCCAGACTTTTGTGTTTCGCTCAATTTAGTCCTCCATTTGTTATTCCGTCAAATTGGTGTTAAATAAATGGACAATTCAGTATGTCAATATTGATCTCTCTTTACTTTCAACTTATGAAGTGCGAAATTCCTCTTTCTTGTACGAATTACACCCAGAATTACTCCCAGACCTGCAAATCAAATTTTATATTCGCAGTTTTAGGAGTAATTCTGGAAGTAATTCGTAAAAAAAAAAAAAAAGGATTTCGCAGTTCACATGTCTATGAGTAAAGAGATGCCAATATTAAAATTACTGAATTGTCTATTTATTTAACACCAAATGGACAGAATAACAAATGAAGGACTAAATTGAGCAAAAACACAAAAGTCTGGGACTAAATTGAGCGAAACACAAAAGTCTGGGACGATATTAGGTCATCAAAGTCGTTTAGGACGAAATTGAGAAAAACCACTATAGTCGAGGACGATTTTGGGTATTAACTCAATACATATTTAAATAATATGTTTAATTGTAAAATATCTTTAAATTGGGGATGAATATATATGAGTTATTTATTTAAATATTTTTTAATATTTAATATTTAATTTTTTTTTATAACTTATTAACGTGGTGGGGATTCCCCGTCCTCGAATAATTCCCGTGGGGATGGGGATGGGGGAATTTTTTTCTTCCCTGGCGGGGATGGGGACGGGGACGAGGAATGGGAAGAAACTCGTGAGCGGGGATGGGGGTATTGTCCCTCGTCCCCACCCCGCCCCGTTGGCATTCCTACTTCGGACGCCTAGGCGGCGATTAATTGGTGTCTACGCGTATATGTATTTTTTTAAGATTATTTTTACTCAAAACGATACCGTAATACATATTTATATATAAAAAAAAATTGCTAATCAGCCGACTAAGCGACCTTAGAGGCCTTGACGATCCGCACCTAAGCGGACTAGGCAGCACTTAAATAACATCATAAATGCTCCCGTTACACCTCTATCAATATCTCATGTTTTAGTATTATAATTATGATGGGGTGTTAGTTTGGTTATCATAAGATTCTAAATTTGACTCATCGTAAGAGCTATATAACTAGGTGATGATACTTTGTTGAAACAAAAATTAATGGGCCGAGGGGTTGGGCCATTATAACTCATCCGAGGCCCAATAAAGGGCCCAATATCGTGCTTCTTCTGAACAATCTAGCCTCCGACGAGAAAGGGCCTAAAATTCAGTAAAGCACTGCAAAAGCCTATAGCCGTTTTCCTGTCCTCCGTTCTCCGGCAACCGCAGAACTGCAATGGCGGAGCTACATGCCGTTGATGCGAATTGTATCGAAAACTCCGACCAAGTAAACGTCAATCAATCGCTGAGATTCTGTTCTTCTTCCGCTCTGGACACCGCCGGAAGCTCCAGAGCTGAAATCAACGAAGAAGAAGAAGAGTTGAGGAGACTTCTGGTGCCGAGGATTGAGGACCTTCCTTCTGTGCCTCCGTCCGCCGTTGAATCCAACTTCGTCACCTACTATGCTCCAGGTAGAACCATTCCTGCTTTCCTTCCTTCTCTATGATTTGTCAAAAGTTATCAAAAATCAGAAAATTTTTTAAACCCATCTAAAACCCTTGGTATGGTTATCAGCAATGGATTTGATTTTAATTTAATTAAATTATCAAGTTTTTATTTGTGCTTCAATGCTTTTTTTGGTTTCAGATTTTATAAAGCCAGGACACGATCAATATGTCCGTCGTCACGCCAATGGGTAATAAATACTATGAATTTTTGTTGTCTTGTTGATTAAAAAACAATGGTGAGCTGACTTTGAATGAATTTTCGTGAAGTTTGTGCGTAATTGGGATAGCTTCAAGTCATGTTGCCTTTAAGGATGAAGGTGGAATTACGGCGGTGGATTTTAATGTGGGGAAGTCTGATCGCAGTGGGATTAAAGTCACCGGAAAACGGAAGAAGGTGCATTCTAGAATCAATTTTTCTTGGTTTTATAGAGCAGAATGACATCTTTGTTTTTTCTACTAATTAAAGTTGAAACCTTGGGGCAACCCAGTCAGCTCGTAATCACATGATTACAAGTTTGATTCTCAACGAGGCTGTCTATTAGCTTTCTCTTTGTATACTGTACTCCATTCTCAGTTACTTTGTATACAAGTTCGACTCTCAACTGCCAGTCTCTGTGTACTGTGTTCCATTCTCAGTTACTTTATTGCTTCTGATACACACTGGTTGAGGTTGTTTTTAAAGGATTAATGTTTTCTGCTTTGGTAGAAATTATGTTGACTGTTTTTAGTATTTCTTACTGTTTAGCTGTGTCATTTAGTATTCTTATTAAAGATGCATTGTACTTCTCTGTTCTACTTAAATGATATTTTCTCAGATTTGATGTCACCTAAGTTTTACTGTCTGTGTAGGGAAAAAAACAAGGAGCTCGACTGCTCGAGCAATTTAAGTTAGGCTAGTTTGATGTTTGGATTGGACTTCTTGTTTCTCTTTATTGACATTTTTCTTTATCATTAGTAACTTTGTTTAAAGAGTTAATACCCAGAATGGTCTTCGACTATAGTGGTTTTTCTCAATTTCATCCTAAACGACTTTGGTGACCTAATGTAGTCCCAGACTTTTGTGTTTTTGCTCAATTTAGTCCCCCATTTGTTATTCCGTCAAATTGAGGGACAATTCAATAATCTCAATATTGACCTCTCTTTACTCTTAGTCTTGCTAAGTGTGAAATCCCTCTTTCTTTTACGAATTACTCCCAGACCTGCGAATCAAATTTTATATTCGCAAGTTTGGGAGTAATTCGTAAAAGAAAGAGGGATTTCGCACTTCGCAGGTCTAGAACTAGGATTGAAGAGATGCCAATATTGAAATTACTGAATTGTCCATCTATTTAACACCAAATAGACGGAATAACAAACGGAGGACTAAATTGAGCAAAAACACAAAAGTCTGAGACTACATTAGGTCACCAAAGTCGTTTAGGACGAAATTGAGAAAAACCATTATAGTCGAGGACCATTTTAGGTATTAACTCCTTTGTTTAATGCTCAGCTGCACAGAGGTTGCAGAATGGTAGGATATATCTTTAGTAGATACTGTTAGTTTAGATCTCTAGTTCATTTACGCTCCCATACTACCACTAGATCCCGATTTAATAAGGTGGCGGCTTTGGTTAAGTTTTTAATCATGCTTTACATAGTAACTTGTTGAATTTTCCTTAATGCTTCTAAACTTGCTCGGGTGCACACTTGTAAAGACGAGGTCTGCAACTGATGCAATATTTTTCACTTATATTTTTGTGTTCTTCCAACTTTGTCCAACCAAACTATTTTGAGTATTTTCCTGGTGTTCTTTTGCAGAATGCACAGCATTTTGAGTCCAATACAGCGCTCTGTAAAGTGTGTGCAAAGGATAATTCATATATAGTGAGGTGGAGGATTTAACGTTGCAGCCTTTCCTAATTGAAATTTTAGTTCTTGTAATTTGCTTACGCATAACTTATATATATTTTTGGGGTGCAGATGCTGTGTGAAAGGCTCTCTATTGGAAGTCAATGAAAGATTGATTGAACGCCCAGAATTGCTGATATCATCGGTAAAAACGCTTGACCATATACTAAATAATTTATCGTTTTAGTTGAATGATATACTAGATAATTCTTGTGTTTTATCTTTGGTATTGGGTGGTACAATCATTACTTAGTGATGCCACCTTCCATATTGTTGCTTAGATGGCGGTTTTTTTTCTGTGTAACTCCACATTGGATTCGTCTTATATACGTTTCCCTCGTGTTTTCTCCTTGTATCTATCTATCGCAGGCAGAACGGGAGGGATATATCGCGATCATAATGCCCAAGCCGGCCGACTGGCTCAAGATCAAAGCTTCCTTGCTGGGAAAAGAAGATTACTGTAAGTTGAGAACAGCTTGCTGATTCCCTGCAATAGACACTTTAGTTTCTCTATAGAGTAATGTGTTTTCAACATTAAACTAATCTCATTGATGTTTTGGGAATTTTGGGATTTTTTTTTTTTTTTTTGAGTCTATTGAATAGTTTTAGTTTATAGGCTTTTATAACTGAAAAAGGATTAGATATCTCGAGGATACCATGTTATTACGTTATGTACCATTCATAATTTGACGTTTGTTTTCTATTTGTTGGTTGTTCATGAATTTGCTTACTTCATTGTCAAGTTATATTACGTTGTATCTTTTCGTTTACGAATAAAATATATATAACAGTCCTATCTTTTCTTTCTTTTATGAATAAAATATATAACTTTTTCTTTCTTTTACGAATAAAAAAAAATATATACTCCGTATATAGTTTGACGCAATATCTCAAATACTCAATCCATTCTCCATATAAATTATTGAATTTAAAGTCACTTTTTGGAGCTTAGTGATATTTTCAACAGCCTATGTAGCCAATAAGTATGAATTTGCAAGGGGAAAATTTGGATTTTTTTATTGCCCAAAATAGGTTGAAAATGGCGTTCGGACTCTCGTTCACTAATGTTGGTTGAAATTTTCTGTCCATCTAAAATGGTTGAAAATGGTCTTTGGTAGATGGTCGGAATATTTTACTTCTTCCAACACCCATCGAAAGTGGGTAAAAATTCCTATTGCCTCTGGCTGGTAAACGAAATGCCAATTTTCTCGTCCACTCTAGGGGTGATAAGAAATGTTAATCGGATCTCAACTGTACAAATCATGTCAGTTGTGATGAGATTTGAAAATAAATGAAAATATAATAAAATTGGAGCAAATAAAAATTTCATTAGCGCAGCTTTATTGAAATATCAAATATTGGAGCTAAGAACACCAAAACAAACGTACAACCAGTATCAAAATAATGTTCTGTTCTTTATTCTTAACAAATTTATCCACCTGGACTGAGGGTACAAAACATCATCTTCTCCTACATTTGGGTGGTGAATAAACTACTGAAACTGCCAACTATGAAAAAACAACAAGAATCCAAATTGTACAATTCCTTACAAAACCTAAACTTGAAAACTTCTTAACATGCAACTTGTCACATCAAGTGCTACATTATCTCAATGGTGATGGTGACAAAACGCTGAATTTAACCTTTTAAACTTCTGTAGTATCACTATCCAGCAAAGCTAATTGTTGATTTTGCGAGACTGGCTGCTCACCACACCTCATGTACAACTTCTTGCACAATCATCCTCCTAGACCTGATGGTGACAGATCGAACGCTGGATTTAACATTTCAAACCTCGATAGTATCACTGTCCAGCAAAGCTAATTGCTGATTTTGCGAGACGACGGGCTGGTCACACCCCACAATTTCTTGCACAATCATCCTCCTAGACCTGATAATGTTGAGAAAACACAAATAAATGTGCTGCTCAAGCTCTTTCATCTCCTCCAAGACCCACTCTTCTTGTATGGCAAAATCCCTCGAGCTCACCACTTCCTTCAACACATCATTGCATTGCTTCAATGCCCACATGTCAGCTATGGTCTTGTTATGCTCCATTTCATCGCTCAACCTCCCCACCAGCCGGCTCACCGTACTCAAATCATTGATCAATACATAAAGCCCTTTCGCGGCCACATCAAGCTGCATATAAAGCCCTTTTCTCGGGATCGTTTCTTTGACCCTCTTGAACATGCTCAAAGAAAGTGCAATTAGGCCCGGGACGGCCATCGTGCAAATCACAAAATGCACTGCGAGAATGGTAAAAGTAATGGTAAACGCGGTGTACCCCACCAGAAGGGTCGACCCCAAAGCCACCTTGAAAACCCTAAGGTGTTTCATCCTCCTCCCTACCTTCCCCCGCTTCAATATGAGGCGATTTAGCAGCCCCAAGTGGTGGTCTCGTACCTCCTCGAACTTCACCGCCGACAAAGGGTTTCCGAACAGCGACAACGACGCGATTTCTCCGTACGCACGATTCACTTTCTCCTCGCTCCACGCCGCATTTCTCTGGGATTCCTCGATTTTCTCGACAGCTTTCTTGACGGTCTTGTAATCCGCTCGAGTTTGCAGGACGATTTTGAGCAGCGATTCGCAGATCACGCACGCTTCTAAGCTTAGAAGGAAGAATTCGTTAAGCAGAGGGTGGGCGTTAGAAGCTTGTTGGGGCAATTCTTCCATGTTTTCCTGGCAGAGCAGAAGCTTGCATCCTGGGGATGATAAGCTACTTTCATGGCGGCTGATGATCAGAGGGGAAGAAGAAGAAGATGAAGAAGAAGATGAAGAAGATGTTAAGGGAAAAGTGTTATCCCCTCCAACAATTTCTTTGCTTCTTGCGGCTGCTAACTGTCCTTGAACTTTGTCGTAGATTTCAACGTAAGAATTGGTTCTAAAGGCCGCCATGTATTCATGGCTGACGCTCGATGACTTGCGCCCCAAGCTACCCTCATTTTCGTTGGAATTTCTTCCTGCAATTATTAAGGGGATAAAAATTATAAAACAAACCAAGTCACAATAATATGCAAATAGAGTTAATACCAGGTCCTCCGAGTATAGTGGTTTTGACACGTTTAGTCCTAAATTTTCAAATTGACCATGGTCCTTCGACTTTCAAATTTAATCTGGTCCAAGTTAACCATCCATGGTCCTTCAAGTTTCAAAATTTAACTAGTTGTAGTCATCTTGAAAGGACCATGATTGGTTAAAATTTAATAGTTGAAAGACCATGAGTGGTTAATTTGGACCACGAATGGTCAAATTTGAAAGTCGAAGGACCATAGATGATCAATTTGAAAGTTTAGGACTAAACATGGCAAAAACATTATACTCAGAAGACCTCAGATGATATTAAGTTTATGTAAATAATAAGAAAGTAACTCACTTGGTGATTTTATGATGAAAGCGGATTTCATCTTGGAAAACTTTTTGAAGAGAGGCAAATGCATGTTGAGACGATGAAGCTGAAAAAGAACGAATGTATATATATATATAGAGAGAGAGAGAAAGAGAGAGATAGAGAGAAAACGAAGGTGGAGAGGATATAGTATACACAATTGCAAGGAGCAGAAGTTGTGAAAGCAACCGGCTTTATATATAAGAATATGCGGGGGGCCGGGGGCGTTGCTTGGAGATGGCGGCAACCTTAAGGCGATCGAAACCTCAGCTAAAACCAGGTACGTGGCAGCGTGCTGTGCTGGCTGCTATGTAAGAAAGAAACTAAAGGGGAGAAGATTAAGGATATGGCAGTTAGCACCGCCTTAAAATTGTGTGGGCTAACTGTTCTGCCTTTCACCTGACGTTTCTTTCCGCGACGTTTTTCACGCGGCTTGTAAGGGAACCAATGCAACTAATTACGCAAATTATATCATGCACCGCGGTGCATCAAAGTGACGTCGTTTTGTTTAAGGAAAAGAAACATAATCTTCGCAAAAAATAACTCTTTTCTTCAGTTTCATTTTGTATATATACACTGCAGTTTCAGTTCAACACAACTACAATTTCATTTCGATATAACTACAGTTTCATTCAATATTTATACATTCAAATATGTAAAAATGTTATTTAATTTTATTTTATATACACTATAGTTTCATTAAAACACAACTACATGATCATTTCGATATAATTACAACTTCATTATACAATATACACTCAAATATGTGAAATGTTATTCAGTTTCATTTTATATACACTACAGTTTCATTTCACCACAACCACAGTATCATTTTGATATAACTGCAGTTTCATTTGATAATATAAAAAATAATACGTGAGGCAGTGTCGGTTTAGATACACTGTAGTGTCACTCCGTTAACACTAATAGTGCGCAATTTCTTTACTTAAAGAAACGACGACATTTTGATGCGCGGTGCATAATCGATTATGCACTGCGGTCCACGATATAACGACTGCCTCTCAGGTACCTGTTAGAGCGTCTCTGATAGAGTAAATCGTGAGATGTGTCTTAATAATCTTATATGTTGATGCATGCTTATTTCATTTTGTGCTTATATGCTGGCGGACAATGTGACTAATGTATGTCTACTAATAAAATAAACTGTCATCAGTATCAATCGCTTATCACTACACCAAAAGTTATAACTAGTAATGAATATACAATTTTTTTTCTTTATATATACTTGTATAACAGTCAGTGTCACGTTTCGATCATAAGTTGCTGGACTTGACCATTTAAGTCTTCGTCCAACACAAGTTATATATTAACTTTATTTTGAATTAGTCAACCAATCCTAGCTACAATATTTTGAGGACATATAAATTTTATTTTGAGTTCATGCTATTTTAGGGTTTGTTTGAGTAAAAGTGTAGTTTCATGAGTAGTTTCATTTTTAGTTGATCCACTATAGTAACATTTTTATGGTTAGTTATTGGACATTCAATTCATTTGACCAAATTTGTCCAAATATATAGTTATGGTTAGTTGCTCCGTATATATTTTTGCTGGGACCACAAATTAGTTGATTTTTAAAAACCAAACACTTAATGGCAATAATTATGCGTATTAAAGATGTTACTGTAGGCATGTGACCAAAATGAATTTATGTACTATAGAGTAATTGAAGTAGTTTCGAGTATCACACTAAGTTATCCTTTTGGGTTACAAGGAAAATTGCAACAATAATTATATGAAAGTGTACATTAAGGAAACCTGAAAATAGCTCACAAATCATATATGCGAATTGTTGAAATTTTATAAAAATGTTGAAGTAATTGACATAGTAACATATATGGCTTGTAATTGTGACAGAAGATAAATTATAATCCGGTAATTCATTAAACCAATAATGCCCATCTTTTGTTATCACTTTTTTTTCTTGATATGTTTAAGTAATCAGAGATTACATTTAATTGTAACTTTCTAGCCTATCCTGTTTACGAAATTTCTAAATATGGTAACATGAATTTTATGAAATTAAACTTATATCAAAATTTGGGAAATTGAATAGAAATGCCATCATAATTTCTTGTACTCTACATCTCAATTTGGGAAAATTTTTGTTGCATTAATTAGGACCAAAAGTTTCAAATTTATGGATAAAGATGACAAATCAGTTGGTTTGGGAGTTAGATTTTCTTTGCCAGCCTAACTACCTGTTGGGATAATCAAATAAGAATAACAATCAAACACACAAAACCATTAGGAATGGCTAAGCTAATTTAAGAATCCTAAGATTTTGGTTGCTTGACAGTGGAAAATTCGATCATGAACCTATATGTTGACACGTGTCAATATTCTTAGCCACTCATCCACAAAGCAATGGATCAAACGGTGTAAAACGTTTTCGGATATACAATAGTAGAAGTAGCTTGAAAATCATGAAAACACATTTCGAAATTAAGGAAGAAAAAAGAAGGTTTACTCCATAAAGTATGATGAAATATATGGGCAGAAACGGTTCAAATTGCAATTATATTCATATTTTCTTTAAATATAATTATTTTATACGAAATAATAGTTAGTATAGAATATATTTTGTGTGAGACTATTTGACGTGCATGTTACGTGTAATACATAAAATCAACATAGTCGAAGGATTATTTTTGTAATTTTCTCCATTTTATTTTTTTAGTGAGCGAAATTTTTTAAAACACATTAAAAATAGTTGTTCAATGATTGCTGAATTTTTTATTTTTATTTTTTTAACAGCCATGGGCTAATCTATATTTTCAAAAGATGTATATCTGGTATTCTAGGTTTCCTCTCCTCTTTTCTTTTATTTTTCCCCTTATTTTTATTTTTCTTTTCTTCTTTTCCTCTTTCTTTCTTCATCATGTAAAGGAAAAGTAGATTTTTTCAATATATATATATATATATATATATATATATATATATAGTTTCAAATTTGCTATCAAAATTGTTCAACCACTTAAAAACATGGATGGAATTTTCAAATACTAAGTTATAAAATTTATTTTAAAAAGTATTATTTTTTGGTATAGAAGTGATAGATTTTATTTAAAGTTTTTTTTTTTTTGTATAACTATAACATTTTTTTTAAATAATAACATATTAATATTACCTTAAAAGCATTTGATTTTTAAAAGTATTCATTTTTTTGCTTAAAAGTGATAGTTTTTCATGAAAAGTGTTAGGTTCCAACCTGCCTCCATCCATCCTCCAGGTGACTGACATCTTATTATTTTCGTTAAGGAAATTATTTTTTGTCTGAAAAGCGATTTATTTTACGTTAAAAGTTATAGCTTAGTATGCATAAAGCATCGTAGAGTAGGAACTAGGCAATGAAACAAGGTGGAAGGTAATATATCCGTGCTTGTTTTGTGTATGCAATTATGCATAAATGCATAAAGTTTTAAAATAAATGAAAGTTGCATGAAAATACTCTCTTTATTTCTTGGAATCGTCTTATTTTATGTTAGAAATCATTTAGTCTTCTTAAGTATAAAAACAATGATGACATGCTACAAATTGCCATATGGAATATGTTGCTTTGTTGGTGAGGTATATATACATGATATGATATATAGTGATCAAATCAATCATGTATAGATATTTTTTATTTTTAGATCCGTCTCATTCATAAATCTTCTGTTATCTTACTTTCTTGAACTTTAATAAAACGTCTTTGTGTACCAGATAATTATGTTTAAGTAAGCGAAGGAATACATATCACGGCTTTAAACTTGGGTAGTAGTGAAATATCGATACCTGCCTACCTGGTACCTGATATCATATATTTATTTATTTGTTATTATTATTTATTAAAATTAAAACTAGACTTATTAGTTGTTTTGCAATATATAATATCAACCTCTTATTAAAGAACCGTTTAATATATAATTAAAAGGATGCAATTGCTTAATTTAATTGTAAGACTTTTCATTCTTCAACCGGTTTAAGGACTTTTCGTTGTTCAAAGAAAAATAATCATAATTAAATTGGCAGATTTCTATTACGTTTATTGCAACTTTGTATTTTTATCTTTCAAGAGTTCATTAAATCATCATTAAATGTACAACAAAAAAAATGAGCTAAGTCTGAATTAATACAGATTGGTTGTCGAAATTTTTAAAATGGGAAATATAAAAAGCATTTAATAATGCAGCTCAGGGCAATTCAGCATCAAATGGCAAATGTAAAAAGCATTTAATATTCCAGCTAATGACAACCAAGTGAAACGACACCGTATTCTTTGAACGGGAAAACGTTTTGGACAGAAGTTTTGCTTTATTATAGAAGGAGAGGAGATTATGTATTTATTAAAGATACATAATATGTGATGTGAATTATAAAAAGAGCAATTAATAATACATAAATATCTTTCAAAAAATAATACATAAATAAATCAACGGAGTTAATTCCCAAAATGAGCAAATACCAATTTTGGTCCCACGAGTATTGACAAAATGACAGTTTTGATTCACATGTTCAATTCTTACCAATTTTCATCCACTATTATTGTTTTAGTACCAATTTTCATCCACAACTATTATTTTTGTACCAAAATTAATCACTCCATCACCCCTCCGTTTAAGACATGCCGAAATCTAAAAATTTTAAGGGTATTTAATTTTCATCTTTTTCAAATTAAGATTCAAATTTGAGCATGAATAAAGAGATCTAAGCCCTAAGATCGATCCCAACTCGCAGTTTTCCTCCTCATCCTACCTTAATTTGATGAAGAGAACTGTGAATTGGAATAAGTTTTAAGGCTTAAATCCATTTATTCATGTTCAAATTGAGATCTTAATTTGAAAAGGACGAAAATAAGCTTAATAATTTCATATTTCGACATGTCTTAAACGAAGGGGTGACCAGTGTGATGAATTTTGGCACTAAAACAACAGTCGTGGATGCAAATTGCTACTAGAACAATAGTCGTGGATGAAAATTGGTAGGAATTAAACATGTGGACTAAAACTGTCATTTCATTAATACTCGTGGGACCAAAATTGGTATTTGCTCTTCCCGAAATGGTCCTCCGACTACGGTATTTTCTCAAATTGCAAATTTAAAAGTCAAGGGACCAATATGAGAAAATGTCATAGTCGGAGGACCATTTTGAAAATTAACTCTAAATCAACGCCTATTAGGTACATTGTGAAATTGAAATAATGGTCGAATAGGCCCTCGAACTACACACGATAATGCAATTAGGCTACTAAACCTAAAAACACTACAATTGAATCTTTAAACTAACCAATTTCATATAATTAGTCTAATTTGCAGATTTTTCAAGTTTCTAACAAGTCACCCTAAATTTAAAATATTTTTTAAAACATATTATTAAAAAAAAAAAACCATCTCCACCGAAGACGAAGAAATTGGTTAGTTTAATGACATGTGATTATATTTCGGGAGACGAATCATGAAGACGAATATGAATCCCTAAACTAACGAATCATTTATTTCATTTTCTTCATCTTTGGCCATGGAGACAAATCCATGGCCGGAGATGCTGTTTTTTTCTTTAATTTTAAATAATTATTTTTAAAAAATATTTTAAATTTTAAATTTGGGGTGACCTGTCAGAATCTTGAAAAACGGACTAATTGTATTAAATTGGTTAGTTTAGAGATTTAATTATAAATTTTTTTTTTTTTTTTGGTTCAGTGACCTAATTGTATTATCGTATATAGTTTGATGACATATTTGACTCTTATTCCTTGTGAACTTTGGTAACCAAATCTTAAATTTTTTTTTTTTTTTTTTTTTTTTGTAGTTAAAGAGGGACAATAAACCACGAAAAAACTTACCTAATTCTACGGGTGGCAGCACCCCCAATATCACTTTGAAGGAGAATGGAGATACCAACCGACGATTCTTTTAGAATCGAGGTACCCCAAGCATTAATTTGGCCGAGATTTGTCATGAAATTTGTACATTTATTCCCTTCGCGTAAAGCGTGAGAGAAAGCTATATGATAGAACTTGGAAACAAGTCTCCTGCAATCATCGACCAACGTGTCCACTTCTTTCCCCGTATTATTGTTGCTTGTCACAATATCAATAAATAATTTATATATACATGTAATTATACAAAATGAAATCTATAAAACATGATTACCTTAGTTGGTGTGCATAAGAATATTTTAATAATATTAACGCGATAAATATTAAGTTTTGAACTTTTACAGCAAATATCAGATAAGTTGGTTCGAATATTAATTTGGTAATAATAATGTTATAAATTCAAGCATTAACAATTTATCTTTTTTTTTTTTGAAACTAATAAATTGTGAACAAAAATACAGAATTAAACCCTTTTAAATACAGCTTCCGAAGATATACCAAAGTCATCATCGATACACGTGCACCCAATGGAGGAATTCTGGAAAGACATCACTCTCTCTCCTTCCCACCACCCTATCTCCGCCGCCGGCGCCGCCGCCACCGCCGTTTCTCACACCACGATCCTCCAGGAGTTTCTGGCTCTACCCACCGACGGCGGCCGGCCTCCCCATCCTCCGGCGACTGCCTTGTCCTTGAATACTCACCCCATCACTCCGCCTGCCCTCCCTCCCACGCCGCATCATCATTTCCACACCAGAAAACGGCCGCCCGAAACCGACGGCGACGACGACGACCGGCGCCACCACGAACGCCTGATAAAGAACCGAGAATCCGCCGCCCGTACCCGCGCCAGAAAACGGGTAACAACAAATTAAACACCCTTTCATGTGTTCATCCTCATCTTCAATTCACATATATTTCTTTCATTTTAATTTTCATTATTCAAATCTTCTTAGAAGTAATTAGTCAGAGTTTATGTTGTCTGGGTAATCACAAAGATCTGAGAATCTTACATTATTATTATTACCTTGTAGGCTTACACATATCAACTGGAGATGAAAATAGCGCATCTGAAACGCGAAAACGATAAACTTAGAAGGCAGAAGGAGAAGGTAAGAAATCTGGGAATAGTGTCTATTTTGATCTTCTTCAACAAACAAAAACAAAAACAAAAAAAAGTGTGTATTTTGATACAAAAAAAAAGTGTCTAAGGTGTGATTGAGTTATATGAGTTCCTTTAAATGGTGATGCAGTTGAGTATGGAGGTGTCTGCTGGCATGCCATCCAAAAAGAAGAATAAACTCTCCAGAACTTTGACTGCACCATTTTAAGAAGAGCTCAGAGTCTTAGGATTTGAGCCATATTTGGGTGGTTTGTTTCTTTTCCCTGTTTTACCTCCTCCACGCACGTGGAATAGTATTCCTATTCCCTCTGAATTCCAAACGTGCTTTAATTCAATATTTAATATGCAATTATTTGAAAGAAAATGCACAGAATAGCATTTCTATTCCCTCTGAATTCCGAACATGCTTTAATTCAATATTCAGTAGGTAATATATTTAAAAGAAAAGGTCAAAGATTCGAACTTTGTTAGTAGTAATATGAGAATTGGTATTATGTCTAAAGTGACATTTGGTCGAATCTCGTGGCCACAAATCCCTTGTACCTACTGACATTTAATTGGGTCTGTTGAGTCGTTGAATCACTGTAATTTACATTATTTCAAATGTTCTTACGGGGTGCAGAGATCCTTAACTAGGGAGATTCTAAATTTTGAAAGAAATAGAAATAAACCAAAAGTTTTTTTTTTAAAAAGAAAAAGAAAAAGAAATAAACCAAAAAAAGAAACGGAGGGTGGAAATAGCAAAAAAATCTTTCAACATTGTCATGTCAAATCAGAGAAACAGAAATAGAAAAGTAGAGAGTGATCAGTAAAAACCTAGCTTCTGTAAAAGCTGCACTGTTAAAAATAAAATAAAATTAAAAAAAAAATTCATGATTGTTGTCACGTAAAGATCAAAGTTGTGACTGTATTTTTTGTATGGTGGGCCCGGTGGGGTACATAAATTTTTTTGTGGCCACATAATTTTTTTTAATGTGTGTAGTGGACTAGTTGGCACGTAAATCATATTTAAAAATAAAATAAAATTGTAAGACACTATTTTTTTTTTTCACCATTTCCCACTCCTAGATGGCCTCAAAAACTAATGAAAATGTTAGATAAAAAGATTTGGAAATATTTATATTTTATAGATTCTAGTACAAGCAAGTTGTGTGGTAGATAAGGTCTTTTTTATGTTGTTTAGTGGTCCAATGAGGTTGCTTTGTCTTGCTTAGCCATATAAAGATATGTGGGTGTGGGGTTACTGTCAGACATGTTTGGCCAAGTAAAGCCCTTTGTTATCCCCCAATAGTAATTATATTTTATATGTATAATCTTGCTTATTTATTTTTTATTGATTTACTTTTTTGATAATTCAGGTTTTTTGAATTCTTCTAACTATATTTTGGAGTCTATTAACACATATGTCTTCAGGGTTATTGCCTATGAGAAGGTAAATTGAATCAATATAATTTTAAATTTAAATATTAAACTGATAATTCTGTACACATGAGCCTAACCTAAACTGAAATTTTATTGTTCATGACAGGAATCAAGCTCCTCTTTGTTGTTGAAAGAAAGTGTTATGTAAAATTTTTGATCTACCAAGCCAATGTCGTGGGGCAACCTTTATTATGATTTTTGTACAACAAATTTGGACATGTTTTGCTCAATTATTACTCATCTTTTTTATTTTCCTCCCCCAATTTCGAGTATCCGTTGAATTTTAATTATAAAAAAACAAATTAAGATAGCAATTGCAGCGAGTAACTAATAATACGTTATATCATCATATATGATATATATAATACTATCAAGTTTGATTAATATCTGTGTTGTTCAAACACTTTAATTTTTTTTAAAGGCAAAAGTGTCAAATAGTTCCATTTACTATTCGCAAGTGCTCAATTAATTTCTTATTCTAAAATAAAATCTAATTTGCTATATTTACTTTTAAAATTATGTTCGTTTAGCATTTTCTTCAAGTTTTCATCTTGGTCGGCTCCGTGAAACTCCCGATTAATCTGGGTTCTAAAGATTTAAACCACTCTGCAGCCCTTTTTGACAAAGTGGGGAAGAATGTTCCTTTTTGACAAAGTGGGGAAGAATGTTCGGCAAATGACTGCATCGGAAACTCCCATTATCATCATATTCTCGTAGTACGAGTTAATATGCTCTTCCGGAGCGTAATACCAAGGAGAGTTTTGCCACCATTGAAATGTCGGGTCTTGTGCAACGATAGTGGTCGTCGGAAAGGAATATGGAACTTGTCCCTCTCTAAGGCATTAAATGCACCTTATATTGAGGACTGGAGGGAGTACATGTCGGGAGATCGGTATGTTGATCATGTGTCTTGCATGCATTGAGGAGGCTGGAGGCGTCACAGATACGTCCACGTGCAAAGAAATTCCTAACCATCTGAGGCCCTGAGGGTGATGTGGTCGGATAGAGCGACATTTCCTGTGTTTATTCACTAAGTGTATAAGGCTTTACGATCGTGACAATCGGTCCGGGCGTTGAGCTCAAGATTTTTGCCCGGGCTCAAAGTATGCTACACAAAAATTAATAATCTTGGAGGACACAAACTTGTGCCTCAACTTGGGTCAAGTCGAACCCCAAGGGGGTTGGGTGTGACCGAGAAGTGTCCCTTATGATACACAGAGTTGAAGCCAGGCAAATATACAATCATATGCTCGAGGGTATATTCCCTATTAGGTATCAATATTGATGTTGATCAACATCATAGTAGTTGACAAACACAATGATTTGTCTCACAATTACAACATTAAAAGGTAACTATTATATATTGTGCATAACGTTGGGGGCAGCCTTAACGGAGTTGGTTGAGTAGTTAGCTTGGTAGCTACAAGGTTTTAAGTTTGACCATCTATAAAAGCTATGTATTAGCCTTTTTTTATTTGCGCCAGTTAATTATGGATAACCTAGACTCGTTTATCTTATAATTATTTGTCAAATAAGGTCACGATACATATTTCACTTATAACGTACATTTGAATAGTGGTTATGGATTTTTGGGTTTACAATATTATTGTGCAAATCGTACCTGCTCCACTTCAATTAACATATTGCAGATATTTATGAAGTCACATCGATTCCTATATATATATATATATATATATATATATATATATATATATACTTTTTATTTTTATATCTGATATGCTTTGCCCAATCCTGACTCAAGATCTGTTGATTATAATCAATAATAATATCATGAAGCAACATTCAACAACTCTCTGTCACTTAGCAATTAATGATATGGAAACTACTGTGGATAGAAATATCCCTTTCGGAGCACCTTGTGGTTCAAATCATTAGGGAGAATTTTCTATATGCTTTAGAACATTGACACAAGAAGAAAAGTAAAAGATTCTATCTTGAAGGGAAAGGATAGAAATAATTATTGAGGTGATGAGGTTTTAATCAAAATTTTTAATTAAAATTCGTTATCTCATCGAATATCTGAAATAATATTTTATTGTAAATAGATGAAGTAGATGTTGTGGTTTGTGAAATGTAAAAGAATATGCAATGGACCCCCTTTCACTTGTTTGAGAATAAGAGCTTAATGTATTAATTCAGATCCAAGAACCCCCCCCCCCCCCCCCCCCCCATCTTCACTTGTAAATAGCAAATCTTTCAATACTATTTTTTTTTGGTGATAAGATCTGAATAAAATGACATCTTTGTATTTCATCCCATTCAACTCAGAGTTTCTCTAAGTCTCGGATATGACAAGTACTATTACCTTGGACTATTGCGTTTGAAACGTTTTACATAAACGAGATGTAAAGAAATTAAGTGATACACACAACATCAATTCGTTGTCGTCCAGCGGTTAGGATATCTTGCTTTCACCCAGGAGACTCGGGTTCGATTCCCGGCAACAGAAGTAGTGCGGAATAGGTTTATTGTTCACCCTATTAGTGGTTCATGCCTTCCCGGTGCAGGCAATGGACTAACACAAAATGATGCACATTTCAAACTTTTTGTCCCAAAAGTTAGAAGTTTAATTATTGTCAATGTCTTCTTAATTGAGTTTATTACACAATTAATTAATTTTTTAAACATTTTATTATCATGGTTTCCGATGGAGGCAATTGTAGAAGGCTAGCAATTATTAACATAAAATGACGTGTTTGTCTTTTTGGTTATCAAAGAGTTACCAATTTAATTATTGTCAAAATAACATATTAGCTCTTTAAGCATTTTTCTACTTGTGGTTCTTGATGGAGACAATTGTAAAAAGTTGTATGTGACTAATACAAAATGAATTGTAGGTTACTGTACATAAATAGAGTTTATTCTGTACACACCCTTATAACCCTTATATGGACCATGGTATGAGCTATGTTTTAAGTTCATTTTTACGCTAGTTTCATGTATATGCTATCTAATTTCATTTTATACGCATCCAAAACACATTCATTTGACAAAATACATATCTATATAAGAACTTTACTATTTAATTTCATTTAATGCATACAATAGATTCATTATAACTACACTAAAGTATTGTTTTAATTATACTACAAATTAATTATATGTTCTTATAACAAGATTAAAATATTATTTTAATGGTCCACACAGTTGTATGGACATTGCTTACCATATAACGATTGCATATAGTAACTGCGGATTTTCAAAAAAGACAAATTTCAATTTTCCAGACTCTTAATCTGAAGTTGAACAAAGTTCTGCTATGATCTAAAATTCCAGTGGCAAGTGCTTCATTTGGTAACACAAAACCTATAACAAAGCCACCGGGGAGCCTGCATGCAGTAAGTCTCCTAATATAATCTTTTCTAAGCTGCTTAGCATATGCTATAACCACAATATTTTCCATTGCAAGTCCTTAGAGATCACCAAAAGGTCCAAAATAAAGGACAAAATCAGGATAGTATCAATATGAAAAAACAAAAGCACAGTACCATCATGAAATATAACACAGTGAATCAAACAAATGATTAGAACCAGCTATCCAGCAGCATCTGCAGCATCACTCAGAATCAGCCATAAATGGAGAGAGTTATAGCATATCACTCAAAAGCCCACTGGTTCTCCCGACGGATCGCCTCTTCCTCCTCGGGGGTAAAGTCATTCTTGATGTTGAATATCTTGCGAATCTCTTCTGGAGATTTATCCTTGATCAAGTCCGCCAGGGTTTGGCAAGTCAGATTCATAAGGTCAGGAATATGCAGGTAGTTCGCAGCCTAAAAGATCAAATAACCACCATAAGGATCACATGTCCGTGTTTAATTACTAACTGGGGAAATGGAAAATTAAAGAACAAAAAGACAAAAAATGCATTCACTTGCATTTGAAAAACAGAAAACGGAGAAGGTAGAAAGCAAAACAAAAACTAAACTAAACACAAGTATTACAGCAAAACATTTGAATAGCAAGTATTAATTAATTTATTTCACAAGAAAAATAATAAGATGAACTCAGCTCTAAAGAGTCAAGACTAGCAACTATTTCAATGTTTTCCAGTAGAGCTTTCAAGTGTGATAATCATCTTAGCTACAGTAGATGACGCTAAGCATGCATTGATATGCTTGAATAACCATCGTTATTCATAATCTATAATCTATACTTACATGTCACAAGAAAATCAGCTGAAAACACCAATCATATACCACATCATTTAGCATTCAGTTGAATAACTATCTTCTTTTTATGGGAATGAAGGGGAGAGAGAATTCAAAATTAGTATACTACCTAATCAATTACACCTAACACAACTTCTAGTAATGGAGAAACCAGCCGTTCATGAAACGGAGAGATCTGAGCTAAATCAAGAACAATTAAAACACAACAGTCAAAACGAAGCAACTAGCATAGAGTTCCTACTATTTCACAGTAATAAGCAAGCTAATAATCATCGATATGCAATGCAAATACAAATAATGTAATCACAACAAACAAACTTGGGGAATATAAATGATTTTAAAGCTTCAGAATCATAAAATTACCAGTATGAGGTCGAACAGAGTGGCATGGTCGACTTTCACAAACTCGACATCGAAGGCTATGAGCTCCTCCACACTCGAATCCACGGCGTGCTTCTTACAGTACTCAAGCACCATTGCGAAGATCTTTCCGGTGACGTTCGGAAGGGGAATGCAGTCCTCGGCGCAATCGTCTTCGATCATGTGGTTTAAAGTTTCCGACTGCTGAGCCACAGTCTGCGACAGCTCGAACACCTCTCCATCGGAACTGCACACCTTCAACTTCTTCTCCTCCGCAGCCTCCGATGACATCGTTGCGATTGCAGTTAGTGATTATGGGGAATTTGGGGGGGAAAAGGATACAGGAAATTTGCGATTATGAGCGTCGAGACGTTTTGTAGAAAGATTTTATAGAAGCGGTGAAGCGGTTATACTCCGAAACTAATTCTCATTTTGTTATAACTGATCTAACCCCTAATCATATTTAAAAAAAAAAAAAAAAAAAAAAAAAAACAAACAAACAAACAAAACAAAACTTCGGTGGTGGCGGCGTGGTGCTATCCCTTTGGCAAATATACAATACTAAAATGTACACCATTACAATAAATTTATACCCACACTATAGATAATAAATGTACGTTTATTTTTAATATATTGTCTCTAATGTTTCGCTCAATTGTAGGCACTTCTATTGAGTGAGACTGTCGTAGTGGTTAAAGGATGAATTGATTTTA